GGATACCCATCTCCTTCTCCAAATCCTCAAGTAGGGCGAGGCGCTCAGTGTGGTCCTTCGAATAAGCCTCGGTCCCGGGCTCTTCGAACTTCTTGAGCTGTTCCTGAATTTGGCGGAAGGCATGTTCTGGGGACTCAAGGGGCGAAGGCTCGGCCTGAACCATAACCTTGTTCCTGCGTGGACCGTTCAACGGCAGAGGCGAAGGAGGTGGCATCCTGATTCTTGACTTTCTGTCAGAGAACACGGGGCACTTGTCACCGACCCGCCAAGCTTGCACTGGAGAGCTTTGCTTGGGTGCAGGTTTGTTCTCGACCGCAGTATTGATTTCTGGGCGCTTCTGTTCTCCCTTCGGTTGAATCCTGGTTTCGCTCTCCTCACGCACGGGATTTACCACCGGCCGAGGCATAGGTTGAGCTACAGCAAGGCCAACACTGACTTGAGTATAGCGGACGGAGCTCAAGGGTGTATCGGCCTCATCTGGTGACTCTAGACCCTCATCATTCATCAACTGTCGTGGTGGATTAACAGGAATAACTGGGGATGATGCCCGCTTCGCCGCCGTATCTGTCTCGTACTTGCTTTCGGTAGCCTTTGTTGGTTCCTCGACGATGGTAGTGCTGCTTGCGGTCTTGGTAGTGGAACTTTTCGTTGATTGGCTGGGTTGTCGCACCTCGTCGGAATCCACTGAAGAGGGAGATTGAAGGTAGGAACTGGCAACAGCAGGAACCTCGGGAACTGGTGGCATTTTACTTGGCATCTCACCAGGGTACATGCGCTCAATTTTCTCCGTGACCGTCATGCTCCTCGTCCGATTCGGCTGCGGGCGAGTTCCTGCACCTGCACTCTTCAGAGGTGCAAGGGGCAGCGGCACATCTTCGGACATATACATGGACTTCTTCACTAACGAGCCGCTAGATTTGCTCCTCCTATGCCCGGCACCCGGAATGGCAAAAGGATTAGGATCAGCCACCTTTCTCGGAATGGGCCGAGGACGGTGTACCACCGATTCAGGGGTCCCGGGAGATCGAGGTTTGTTGACGGTCATATCATCAGAGCCCAGCAGAATGTCATGTGCAAAGGCGGGGTCGTCAAAGATGACATTGTTGAGGAAAAGAACAGTTTGCTGACGTTCTGCGCCGGGTGCATCCTGTTCGAGCTTCAATGCTCGAGCTTTTGGGTTTGATGGCAAGCCAGTAGTGGGTCGCCTTTGAAGCACGGTCAAGGGCCTTTCCTGTGGCGGCGTGGGAGGGGAGGCAGGCAATTGTCTCGAAGGACGGATATCGAGATTTGGTAGTGCTTGTTCGAAGTCCTCCTTGGGAGGGGACACGGATCGAGAAGGGAAAGTGGACTGTCTCGAGGCCTCTGATGGTTCTGGCGACTGGCGCGGCGATCGTTGTCTGATTCCACTCATTCCTGGCGACAGTTCTGTTGAAGAAGTCTTTCCCATATTTTCCGGGCGAAGAGAAGAATCGGACGAAACTGGTGACCGAACCTCCTTTCTCTTCACACTCGCAGCTCTCTCCATGTCCTCCCTGGGATCCATCACCGGCGGCTGCGTATTCATCTCCCTCTTGGCCTGGCTCGTTTGCCTGAGCAACTTCTCCCTTCGCTCCCGCTCTGCCCTCATGGCTTCCTGCAAATCCACGGTGGGAATCTTATCGAGCGGGCTGTTCCCGGTGTTCTGGAGAACGGGATTGCTGATCTGTAACCTCCCACCTGCCGAAGCCCCCTTTTTATGAAGACCAACAGCAGCCTTAACCGACCTGGTTCTTGCGATCGTTGGGGCGGTATTTGCTCGGATAGGCGGAAACAGCTGTCCTTCAATGGGAACTCCGCCCATGCCAGCCACTCCAGTGATGGGCAGTGAGATAGTCGGGAGTCCCTGAGTAGGTTGGTTCTTTGTCGATGGTGCCTCCCTAGGGTTGATGAATGCTGTCTCGGACCTAATGGCAGCGTCCTTGACATCTTGGTAGTTACCGCTGGGAAAGTAGGTATTGGACGTGGAAATATCGCGGCTGATTTCGACACGGCGAGGAGAGAGTGCTTCAGGAGATTTGGATCGCAGTATGCTAGCCGACCCGAGGCTACCAGAGCAGAGAGTAAGAATGGCTGTACCCAGTCAGCCAGTGAGATCAATTTCCAGAACAATGACACTTACTGATTAAAATGGTCAGGCCAATGGCAGGCACAGCAGTTCTGACCGCCAGGGCAAGATAACGGAAACCAAGGTGCAAGGTTACGCTGGTCGCGATCCAAACAGCCAGGCCAGCCATGACCCAAAACAGTGCCTTCCGCCTAGCATCCTGAGATTCGGTATTGAGCTGAGTGTTCTGGGTCAAGGCGCGTGAGATGAGACAAAGAAGAATGGCGGCGTCCATGGAGATAACGATGATCGAAATGGGAAGTTCGGAAGAGGCAGCGACGCAGAAAGAATCGGTTTGGGGTCGAGTGAATCCAACAAACACTACTCCAACAACAAGTCGACTCAGTATTAGGAGTTGGGAGACGATCTGCACCGCGGATACCTTCTCCCCCGTGTTTTGCGCCCAGTGAAGGTATTGTTCGATGGAAAATCGGGCAAGTTGGTCAAAGATGGTAGCGAATATTATGCCGACCTGGCAAGAACTCGACGAGGTGTCGACTTGGAGAAGAATAGAAATAAAATCGCTAAGTGCCCACAGGGCAGCGGTGGATAGAAAACCGACGAGGACCAGCCTCTGGCCGTCCCGGAGTATCGCGATGCCATGACCCTTTGCGTAGAGAGCGAGAGCCGCGGTTGCGGCGTACAACACAAGACCACTGTTGACATATTAGCTTTGAGATGTTATTGTTTGCTGACCATGGATGAACTGACAAAGTGAAAGCCGCAACGAGGGCCTCGGTGGCACCTTTGACGGCCATGGTGGTGAACAAGAGTGGATATGGTCAGTTGGCAAGATGGAATATTCAACGGGCGGAGAGAAGGGAACCCCAGTCAATGGGGGTATCACAACCAAAAAAAAAAAGAAGAACACGCTTGATGGAAAGATATTAGTCAAAAAGAATGTATCATGTCGACGTGCCTTGCGTCTGTGAATAGCGGCAATGACATGCTTGGGGGGATTCAAGCCATGTGCAGAGTTGCCAAACGCCAGTTCAAGGTGAGAGAGGAAAAGGAGAGAGAGAAAGGAGAGCAAAACAGTTTTCTTTGAACGTGTGTGTGTGTCAGACTGACTACCAACGAACCGGTGTTGGGGCTGCTGCCAAGGACAGGCTGGCTGCTATCGACATGGACTCGGATGTACTATGTCTAGTATCGGCCCCAACCCCCGGGATCCCAGCATCACGAGTTCGTCGGTCGGGGATCACTCACGGGAGCACAGGCTCAAACACGAGCCGTCCCAGGGGAATACACCAGGAGTGGCGTAATGATCTTTATGCCGGAACAAGGCCCGGAGGGTGATTGGCTGGGGGAGACGAGGCTGATGATATCAGAGCTGTGGTAATGGTGGTAACGCCTCCTGGATTACCCCTTGGCGGTGTTTCAGCCGAAACCCAAGACGTTCCATTACGCTCTGGCACTTGCAAGGAAGGGGTTCTGGATCTGAGCCGCCGGGACTGGATTTTCTTTCATCTGGAAAAGAAACAGGACTCGCGAGCATTTTTGGAAATAATGGATCGTGCTTTTCCTTGATGGTGGTGGCAGTGGCGGTAAGGTTGGAGCAATGACTGTGGGGTGTGGTCCAAGATTTCGCCCGCAAGAGCACCGTGAACTCCCAACGGGTTGCGGGGTCTTAGGTCGTCGGAGTATAGCACGGCCACCATCTCGGCAGCATTTCCGGGACATTGTTTGTATCCATCCATCTGAGATGCTACTGTCGGGACATTGTCAATTTTCCGCCGCAGGGGAGATAATGTCGCGATCCGAGGCCGGGACGTGGTTTGGATCAATTGAGCTCGGCAAGATCCGACAGATTGAAAGATGTGATGGAAGCGCCTCGACAAGTATGTAGTTCTCGTATCTCGAGTGTGGTGATAGGATGACGCTGGGCTTCATTCGCGACAACACAGAGTGGGAGTTGATGAGACAAAGGTAAAGGGAAGTGACTTTGCAAAAGGGACTGGACGACGACTTCAAGGGAAAGTGCGCACTGGCCAATCAACGCGAGGCCTTTTCTGCTTGGTGGGGTACATAGCATGGTGGGGTCAACCTCTGTGCTCTGTGGGGGAGCCCGGGCCCCCTCTTTCGTCTGGCTTGTCCCAGGTCATTGTTCAATTTCGGCCTTCTCCAGTTCCGCCAATTCCTTTTTCTTTCCGTTCACCATGTAAATATAAGGGACTCTGATATAGCTCGCCTCGTCCAAAGAAACGACCCATTCTGGCGCAACACCAAACACGCTAGTCCTTCCATCCTGAATGTCGGGTTATCCGTTTCCTCGACCTCGTCTTGGCCTCCAGCATGGATGTTGGAAGTCCATAATGAAGCCATATCATTAATAAGGACGGTCCCCCGGTTGGGAAGCACACGTACGGATGGTTCACGCCAAAAGGGTGTTACCATTACCAATGGATGAGATGATTGTCTGACGACTGTTTTCTATTCATTGGCATCAAGTTGATAGTATACAATGAATGTCATCTAAAGGGCGTATTCGGGGTACCCATTGTCGTCTTCTGTCGATCCAATCCATCCATGTCCCGGAAGCCGATTCAAGCCGGACCTAGCATCGGGCCGCATCCGAGATGGCGGGCGTGCCCGGTTTGCTGACGCTACTTACCAGGTACTCCTCATATCCCCGCTCCGTTGCTTATCATCACTTTCCATATTGGGTTGTTGATGTTCCTATGCCTTACTTCTCATGGTCGGACTCACAGGGACCATGTGCCGTGAGTCACGGATGCATGTGTCATAGTAGCCTTTCAACAGTTGATTCAAGACAGATACATAAACAAACTGTTGTTTGGCTATAACACGCCCTCATCGTGACACGTCAACACTCCTCATCCCATCACCCGCCAAAATGCCTTCTCGCGAACTAGAATACCCCAAACAGCCGTACAGCACGGTCAAGCGACTCAACGACAGAGGTGATTCCGCTTTAACCCCCGTGTATCCTCACCCACTTCATCGCTAACCGATTTCGCAACCCAGCCCGCTACTCTCTCGAAACCATCCACGGCATCATCAACTCCTCCCCCTTCCTCAATGTCGCCTTCCAAGACTCTTCCTCCCCCTTCCCCGCCGTCCTTCCCATGATCGGCCAAATGGGTTCCTTTTCTCGTCCTTCCGCCGACCTAGGCGACGTTCTCGACTTGTACCTGCACGGGTTTGTCCCCTTCCTCCCTTTTATTTCCCCCCTTCCTCCCCTTCCTCCACCCCCTCACCTCAGCCCCCCACTAATCCCATCCAGCTATGTTTCCTCTCGCCTCATGAATCTAGCTCGAACCTCGCCAGACGGCGAGGAAGGAACCCCCCTAACCATAACCGCCACCCTCCTAGACGGCTACGTCCTCTCCCTCACCCCCAACTCGCACTCGTACAACTACCGCTCCGCCATTCTGTTTGGGTATGCCGTCCCCGTGACCGACCCGGCCGAGAAGCTCTGGGCAATGGAACTAGTGACCAACAGCGTCGTTCCGTCTCGGTACCAAAACACTCGCACTCCGCCCAATAACGCCGAGATGCAAAGCACGAGTATACTCAAAGTCAAAATCAAGGCGGGCAGTGCAAAGATTAGAAGTGGAGAACCACATGATGAGCGGGGGGATTTGGGCAACCAAAAAATAAGAGAAAAGACGTGGGTGGGTGTCGTGCCTGCTTGGACGCAGTTTGGGGAGCCGGTGGCGGGAGGGTATAATCAGGTGGATGAGGTGCCGCGGTATTTGGAGAGTTGGAGGGTGGAGGGGAATGAGGAACGGAGGAGGGAGGCGTATGAGGCTGTGAAGGAGGGGGGGAAGGGGAAGAAGGGGGAGGGTGAGTGAAGAGAGAGGTTACGTAGATAGGTAGGTTCTTTTTGATGTGTTGTGAATGATATCGCCTGATTTCCTTTTCGGAAAGGGGGGAGACAAACTGCCATCGTCATAAGGCATTGAAGCCTAGGCTGATTACCTCTAGTGGTGGCCGATCTCCGTTCAATCTAGGTGGGGATACACCCTGGTCAGGCCATGCACCGCACCGGAGCCGGACTGTAATCGGGTCCACGTGTTTATTTCAACGTCGTCTCAACCTTTTCCCATTCATGTCACAATCGCTTCTCAACGTCTGCTGTACGTCTCTTCTTTTACTTACCAAATGTATCATCCATGATTCAGCTACTTTTCATCCCACTTCATTCTTCCCTTCATCGGTCTAGAAAATCCCGAAAATGAGACAAGTTGCTTTTCACGAAATCATCCGCATCAGTCCCCTGACAAGACCAACATGCCTCTCAACCCGATCACCACGAAAAATCCGAATTCCGATCCAGGCACGTCATAACTCATCCACCAGCGATCCTCCGATTGCCCAATATGACGACAACAACCCCAACCACCGCTACTGGTGGACCGCCTGCGCTCCATCCCTCACCTCCATCCTCCGCCACTCCCAATCCTACACCCCCTCTCAACAATCCCTCCACATCTCTTGGTTCCGCAACAACGTCATCCCCAACCTCGGCCCGCGTCCATCTTCTTCCTACCGCCTCTGTTCCCCTCTCAACTACGAAGGCTCTCCCTACCGAGCAACTTGGAACTTTTGCTCTGCCCCCGCCGGGTCTCCATCGCCATCCTCGGTGGTAGGGACGCTAAGGTTTAGTTTCGACCCAATACCTGACAATGGAAGCATCAAAGAAGACCCGACGAACCAAGAGGAGTATAAGCGGTTATTCCCCTTACTTGCCAGGGAGTGTCATGGAAAAGGGGAGACAAATGCCGATTTAACCTGGTACGACGAGGTTAAAGAGCACATGTACCTGACTCCGTCGGAACAGGCGGTACTTCAGTCGAAGTTTATCCCTAGATCTAGTCAACTACCGCCAGAGCACGCAGCCATCGCCATTGGGTGCGTGGGGGAGAAGAGGGTATTGAAACCCTACTTCTTCGCTGGACCAAAGAGTATGGTAACGGGGTTGTCCCCTCATCAGGTGCTCTTTTCTGCACTTTGGGGAATCCGGACTCGGGGAGAGGAATTGAAGCCCGCTGTGGATCTAGTTGAGCAGTACGTATCTTCCCGGGCTACGGTAATGGCGCCCAATTGTATCGGCATCGACGCTGTCTCTCCCGACCAAGGCGCGCGTGTGAAACTGTACACCCTCGTGCCTAGCAACGCCTTTAGCGTGATGCGCGACGCAATGACTCTCGGGGGCCGCTTGACCTCCCCGGAAACAAGGCGTGGTGTGGAGGTTTTGAGGAGTATCTACCACCTCTTGCGTGGGGACCGGTCGCCGATAAATGACGCCACAGAAGAAGTGAGCAAGCCCTGTCGGTATGAGAGCAAGGAGAATAGTTACTGGAAGGGGTTCACCAGCTATGAGATGCGTCCGGGGAAAGAGGAGCCGGAGGTGAAGGTGTATGTGCCGCTGATGCAGATTTTTGAGACGGAGGAAGCGATAATTGAGGGACTGGAAGAGGTGTGGAGGGGGTTTGGATGGGGAGAGCTGGGAAAGGGGGGGTATGGGGAGGCAATTAGGGAGGCTTTGTGAGTACTACTTGCCCCGTCTTCTTCAGATTTGAGCTGCATGGAATGTTGAAGGTGAGAGAGATTTGGAGGTGAGAAAAGTGGTTGCTAACCAGAAAAACAGTCCGCATGTGGATTTCAAGAAGGCTCCGGGGACACATACTTGGGTGTCATTTTCTTATTCGGATCGGACGGGGCCGTACATGACGGTTTATTTGGCTCCCAGGCTTCAGGAGGGGTATGATTTGGGCGTCGTGCGGGATGGAACGTAAACAGGATGGCGGTTGGCGAGTGGATTGGTGACGGGTAGGTGGGAGTTGGCAAGGTTGCGGCGTGATCGGTGAGAGTGCTTCACCTGCCTAAAGGTATCAAGCCACCCTCGTTTCATAAAATTGAAATCTACTTCAAGCCGTGTGTTATTCTCTTCATCACTGTTTCATGGTCGAATGACGGTTGTCTCGGAAGTTGAGAATGGTAGAGATGGGTGTTGTGCGTATGGCAACAGCGACTGGTTATTGGGACGAAAATTGAACGAAGAGATGGACGGGGAGAAGAGACGAAGAAATGGGCAGAAGGAACGAATTGAAATGTGAAGAGGGGAGTCTTTGTTATGAAAATGCAGGTACGATCGATGCTCGACATCAGCGGCAGGCATGCGAGACAGGATGTCCTGTCGGCTGTTATCGATAGGCAGCCACCTGCTTGTAGAGACGGAAGGCACGTGATACCCTTCATCGTCACCACCAGAAAACTTTGGCTCTGCTTTTGGACATTGAGGTATGGCGCCTATGACCTGGAAGGTGTGACATGAAGACGGCTGCCTCATTGACTTACTGATGATATCTGTGTTTTTGGAGAATCCTTACTCTGACCTGGCATTTTCTGTCCTGGTCCTTCCGTTACTCCCAATTCTGTTGTTCGGCATTTTGGGACCGTAAAGCGAAAGTGTGAAGCTCGTATCTGATAGTGCTGATATTACTGTAGTATCAAGACCGCGTGATACTGAAAATTGAGGGAATAAAAACGAGGGATGCCAACATATATCAATAGACATCAAAAACCTCCGCCTTTGGGTCAGTGTCCATGAACTCCCCATGCATGATACCGTCCACCCATGCCTCCCCCCCAAAGGTGAAGGTACTTCCACTGCCTTCGCTGTTAGTCGTAATCTCATCATTGTCTTGCAGGTGTGGGCGCAGGATGAAGGGGGTGTGTGCGTTCTGCAAAATTACCACAATGTCTCCAGGCCTGACATCCCCAATCCCGATGCCCAGCATTCCTTTAGCCGTCTTGAATAACGTGGAATTTCTTGATCTGGCTTGGCGAAATAACTTTCTTATTTCCGCGTCCATGAAAGATTTTAGGTCGCTTTCACTGATGCTAATAGGTGCATACTTCGGATCAACTGACTTGCTTTTTGTCTGCGCCTTCCCGTCGTCAATTACCGTCGCATCACGGGAGGTGTCATCAGTCAGGTTGGAAAACTTTGTTATCCGGGCATCTTTGATGTGTTTCGAGCTCCTGATATTAGATAATGCCTTCAACTCCTTGAATCCTTGTGTGTACTTGACCACGAAGTCTGGGAGTGACTTGGGATTCGGATAGTCCAGGCGTATGAGCCTACGTATAAAGCAAGCAGCCTCTGTCTTGTACTTGTGTTCCTTCAACCGTAGCCAAAGAAAATTTGTGTCGTGGCAATTCATGACGAGGCGCCAGACGTAGTCTTCTCCCTCCAAGCTCCAAATATCCGAGCTCTCTGGCAACTCCGCAAATTCACGAATGCATGTGAGCCAGTCGCTTGGTCGATCACTTTCACGAATATTTCCAGCCTGGTAGTCATATTCCATAACATCTGGGACAAAATCAACGCGATACCCGGGCAGCTGGATGGCTAATGGGTTCCAATATCCAAGGAAAATAGGGTAAGAGCCCTTCATGCGGCTACGGCTGGCGTCGAGGTATGCAAAGAACAGGTCTACTAAGCTTTGCGGCAGCCCGTTTACACCTACATCCCGCCAGTCGGGGACCCAGCTTGGTAACTCGCTTGGTTGGTCTCTTGGACGGGGCAGACAGTGTCCGATAGTGTACATTCGTTCGTTAGTAAGGAATCCCGATGTGAAAGAGGCCTCAATCAAAGATCGCGTGGCGTGAGTTAATAGATCAACCCATGTGGTGTTGGTATAGTCGACATGGCCAAACGGACGACGGTCATCGTGGGAAAGGAGGCCGAGTATACCGTATACGATATCACGTGAGTCAGTCGCGCGATACCATATACGCTCGCTTTGGTTGGAGAAAGCCACAAGAATGGTGCCCAAGCTCACTTCCATTCTGCGGCAGAGCAATTGACGAATGAGTGTAGCCTTGTTTGGATAAAGATGGGAAGGGAACCGCTCACAGAAGCCGCACCGTAGTGGACAATTGTTCAAGAACGTGGCACGTTCCTCACCAAATTTCCAGGGGGCTTCTAGCACCGCTTCAAAGTATGTGATCCGTAGAAGCTTTTCGCCGCACAAAAGAAGCACTTCCCGGGCCAGGGCCACCTTCTGAAATATCCAGATCCATCCAGTCCCAGTACTCGTTTGTCAATAGATGAGTGATACCAGTTTCCAGATCATTCAGAACGGATTTCTCACGGGTCCCGCGTAGCCCTTTGAGATGGAGTAAGTCGTAGAAGAACCTTGCCATCTCATACCTCTCACAATCCATGCTCAAAGCATTGTCTACCGTACCTCCCTTTTCGAATACCGGTTCCGGGAGAAAGTACCGTTCAAGGGAGTACCAAAACCGGGATACTTCGTAGCGCGGCATGAATGACCAATCCATGGGCATATTCGTAGGCCACAGCTTCTCCATCACACCAACCTTTAGTGCACGAGGGCCCCAGTCCGAAAAGAATTCCATAGCAACATCGGTTGCCTCCGAGCCAAGGCCCAGCCAAGAATAGACAAACTCGGCATTCTTGAACATGTCACACATGCTCTGAACATGCCAACTCTTCTCATCATCGTCGGATTGGTGAATGGATATGGCGTCGGCCCAGAGCCAGGATGCCACGTCGTGGTGCTGAAGCATTTGCAGCAGAGCATGTAGATTGGCGCCGACAGAAAACCGTTCGCCGTTGATGTTGATATCCTCTTTGTCCTTGGTATCTCCCCAGACGTATGGCAGCGCCCGATATTGGAGGGAGTCATCGTCGAGAGAGGCATGGCGAAGTTCAAGACTAATGCGGTCAGAGCCTGACTGGCGGGGAGGCGTGAATCGGAAGACACGAGTTTCGCGCTTTTCGCGGCTCAGAGGGCTGTAGATGAACATTGTTGGCGACGTCTGATTGTTTGGACTGGGAGGTGGGTTGCCTGGATTGGAGTAGCTGTTACCGTCGATGTCCCTGCGGCCGATGAAGTGGGTTTGCAGACAGCAAATGGAAGAAACTCGGTCTTTTGCCGTCCGTGCAAGCGCATTCGTTGGTTCCTTCCAATTGTTAGATAATGAGTATACCAAGAACAAGATTGAATGGAAGGGAAGCCCAAATGACGAGAAAATGTTCATGAGGAAGGAGCGTATCTGGTCGGAGACCTCCACCGTACGTGTTGTGGACCTACCTGCCCTCGCGCCCGCCCAGAGCAACCTTTCACATCTGCGACACTTCGGTTGCTTGTCGAGACTCAGCCCAACCCTTTAGCCCTGCCACCCAACCACCGCCATGGCCGGTTCTCGATCCTGTCAGGCAGGTAGTAGAAAGGTAAGTAGTTTTTCAAGTCCTTTGATTGGATTATAGTCACACTCAGCCCGAGTTGAGTTGAGGATGACCACTGTCTATCGAAAAGTCTTGGCATGCGTGAGGGGTGACGTGGCTCAGCCTGGCTGCGATGTGATGGAACAAATAACCTAGGTATGATCCAGGAATCTCAACCTTATCTTTCTCAAATAGGCCAAAGCCAAACGAGGTTGAAATGCTACGAGAATTCGAGTCCGAAGTATCACAGGAAATCTCAGACTTCTCAAGAGTCCGCTGGGTTTGAATGCTGACGCTTGCTGGTTCTTCTTCTGCACGTCTTTTGGAAACGCAGCTCCCACAAAACGACTATGTCCACACTACCAGCGAGAACAGAAGCCTTGAAGGCAAGAGCTTACAGCCCGGTAGCATCCTCCTCACATCTGTCTTCTAGTCTAGTGCACCGAAACCAGCAATTGAGAATAGGAAAAACGTCGAGTTTCAATGATGAACCTTCAAAATCCGATGAAGAAGCTTGCGACTCCGGATCAGACCTTGGGTTGTTCCTTTACTTTCTTCTCTCTCTCTCCCTCTTCTATGGTATTGATTATTCCCCCTTCGAATGGAAGTCACTGCAATTGTCCTTGGGTCAATATTTAGTAATATGACCGAAGTCACTGTGGATGTCGTTTTCTCTTCTCCTTTCCTATCGATGCACCAGAAAGTTTCTGGCGCCGATCGTGTTGTGTGTGTATGTTATCGACCAAAGCCCACTTGAAGCAGACTCAAACACTGACCGAGCTAAAAGTGGTCAATCGGCTTCAAGATCGCCATCAGGCTCACACCCAATCGCTAACTTTTTGAAGCCTATGAAGACGAGTCTTTCTTCGTCAAACCATCTCCAGAGCTACCTACCTCCATGGCCGAAATTGGTTACGAAAGCCAGCGAGCTCTCTCACAAGTAATCCCACGATAGGCATCCAAGGCAGTTGCTTGGGGCTGCTAGTAACGTTTACACCGTTCACAGACACCCCAAACCTTCACCTAAGGTAGTTCTTACCTAAGTCCTTTCCAGACCCTCCATTCAACCGCTCCACACTAGGAAGTTTCCTCGACGCTTTCTCTCATCCGAAAAGAGGAAAGTCTGGCTTCCAAGCGGGTACACCACAGGACACACCCAAGTCCAGAAGTCCAGCATTGACTTAACTTCAACCCTTTTTTTTTTTCCCAAATCTTTTTCCGAACAACAACAATCAATCCACCAAACCACCAACCAACAACACTGCACCATAACGAACCCCTACACGGATCCGCACCCTTCCAAGTGCTGGCAAACAGAATCCGAACCCCAAAACTGTCGACCTCACCTCACCGTCTGCAAAGGATTAAAGGAATTCCTCCAGCCTCCCTCAGACTTCGATCTCACCACGCTCGCTGACCCCGAATCTTACAGCACCTACCTCCCTCCTCTTTCCATCTACTTCCACACCACTCTCCCCGCTCACGCCACCAACAGCGACCATCGTATAACCTTCATCCTAACGGGAAATGAACACGCCGCAGACGTAGGGCGTGTCGCGCCCCCGTCGTATCCTTCAAACATTACTGCCAACGCGCCTGGCATCTCGTCATCAAAGATACTCTCTTTACTTCAGCGCGAAACAATGCAGACTGGCTTTCTACGTTTGCTCAGAAGTTAATGGGACGTTTAATGACGATTGCCCACGCGGTTGAATATACGAGCTTGTTGGGTACTCAGAAGAAGGCGGGGGAGACGATCAGGCCGATAATGGATAACGTATGCGTGGCTCCCGATACGTTAGGGGAGGAGGTTAGAAACTCGTATCAGGCAATTGTTGAGGGATTCGGTTGCCAGTTATGGCATCTCGAAGAGGTTGGAGGAGGCGGTGACGATGCTGAACGGCCATGTTGCGGATATAAAAAAGACGTTATGGCGATGCTGCAGCTGGTGGAATCCGTCTTTGCTATTTTTAGAAGCAGCTGACATCACCCTTCCGATTCGGCTCCGAACTTACGGACTTAAATCAACAACACCCCCGATGTCAGGACACTGCACGATCCCACAGCGACATCGACATACAACACACAGAGAATTAACATCCCCAAAATGACCACCCAACACACCCCCTACGCCATTGGCCATGCGCCCTCCCACACCAAACATCACGAGTGGCGCACCGCCGCCAACAGCGCCCCTCACCTCCTCCCGCATCTCCCAAAAGCCCTCTCCTCCAACCCCAATCTCAAACTCCTCGACATCGGCTGCGGGCCCGGCACCATCTCGGCTTCTCTGGCCCAACACCTCCTTCCCTCTGGCCACGTCCTCGCAACCGACATCGCCGACGACGTTCTCGAGCGAGCCAAGAAGCACGCCATTTCCCAGGGCCTCTCAGTTCCGCAGAACATTTCCTTCCAGAAGGAATCCGTTTACGAATTGTCCTTTTCCGACAACGAGTTCGACATTGTCCATGCCCACCAGGTGCTCTGCCATCTTGACGACCCCGTAGCCGCCGTCAAAGAGATGCTGAGAGTTTGCAAACCGGGCGGACTGATCTCTTTGCGCGAGTCGGATATGCACATGTGGTGTTTCTGGCCTGAACTTCCGTCCTTACTCAAGTTTCATGAGTTAATGGTCAATGTCATGTTGGCGAATGGTGGGCAGGATAAAGGCGGGAGAAAGTTGGTGTCGTGGATTATGGAAGCTGGGGTCGACCGAAAGGATATCGAGGCTGGGTTTGGGACGTGGTGTTATAGTGAGCCGGGGGACAGAAAGGCGTGGGGAGAGGCGATGATTGAGAGGTTGAGGACGGGGCAGATGAGGCAACGAGGGATCGAGTCGGGGTTGACGACGGAGGAAAGCATAGAGGAGATGGCGAAGGGGTGGCGGGAGTGGATGGAGAGGGGGGATGCGACGTTGGGGATTGTGAATGGGGAGGTTATTGTTACAAAGGCGGCCGCTTGATTGATATTACCTGATGGTAGGAAAAGGGGCCGGTCATTCAGCAAAAGAAGCAACATGGAATGTATGCAGATTGCCGGGAACAATGGAAGGTGCATTTCTTGGGAGGGGTCAATTCCCTTGCATCAAACAGGTCACGGAAGGCACTACCAACATCATCTGATGATCACCAAACGACTGCCGACATCGGCAGAGATAGGTTGGAAACATGCCATGCCCCGCGTCCAGCACCACTCATTTTACCTCTCTCCTTCCCAGTCTTCACCATCATCTTCTCCGTCATTTGCACCCAGCCAACACGCCATCGAGATCACCATCGCCGCCTCGAGTCCTGGCGCGCGACAAAAAAAAGCTATTGCGTCAATTCCGAAATCCATTATTTCTTCACCAACCAAGACTTCTGCCAGCCGCAAAACCCTACAGCGCAAAAGCAACGGGCAAGCTTTTTGTCGGCGGAGGGGTCGTCCCAGTCAATGACATCTAAAGGCGTTCGCAGGACCCAGACAGAAATCCGTCGCGCAGTAGGTTTCCACCGTTGAAGTCGATCTAGTTGTCGTAATGCTAACTCACGGTCTGTAGCTCCGTAGCCCTATCGTGGAAAGCCCCCAGTTAGTCAGTCAGTCGGTCTAGACTGCCGTGATAGGAGGTTACGAGAAACCTACGCTATCTCTACCGGCTATCAACTTCGAACTCCTGAACAATGCGATCCCTTCTCGATTACGACCCACCATTCACACCTTTATTCACCAGCCGGCTTAACAATGAGCCAAAGCCGGTGCCTGTTTCTGATGACGAGCATGGATTTCACAGTATGGTGTTCTTGGGTGGATTTCCGATGAATCCGGAGACAATGTTTCATTTTTCTGAACTTTTGACACCACTCGGCGGCGGTATGTTTATTCGACAGTCACTCTTGAACCCCCGACACCCGACTGACATCATCTTCCCCTAATTGGACCTAGTAGACCCTTCCGGGAAGGCATGCCCGGATGCCATATCATATTCGTTGCCGGCGGCATTGTTGTTTTTCTTAATCCCCCGATCCTGTCTTGGAGTTCACCAATCCGATTCCCATCAATTTCTACACGGAGAGTTGTCATTCCTGTTACCTAAAGCACATGACTCCGCCGCCGTGTCTTTTTTCTTTCTTTCACCTGACAGGGGCGGTAAAATAAGCTCCTCTGCCAATGCCGCCGCGGTTGCCGCAGCATATTTCTGCCATTTCTTTTCCTTGTGTAAGTCCGCATAATCGCGAATTTCACTCCCTGGTTCACCAACCCTTGGTAGTCACTTGTCACGCCGGCCGCTTTCACCTCAGGGCAGATGAAGTTGTGCCTCACTCGAGATTCAACCTTATTTGTGCTCTATTATTCCAGCCCATGCGCATCGCATGCAGGTACTGCGGAATCTTGTTTCCTGCCACCAGCCTATGCGCGCTTCGCAAATTGTTCCCCGCGGTGAGAAGAACAGCAAACGGATGAAGCGTATGTCCCTCGACAGTCATTTCTTCGCTGCCCTGCCACGCGCCAAGCTCGTAATAAGTCACACCCCCAGACGTCCGTATTGGGGGACGCCAACGACGACGACGTTGCTCAAGACGATTGGTTCCTGCAAATCCGGACCAAATCCGGATCATACCTAACCGGGCGCCCTACCAGATATGCCGACTACCGGGACATGCTTGGTGTTGAAATATGAGCGGCGCATGTCGGCCCGAGAGCCGTGGTGGGCCGGCGGCTGGTTTCAGTCGATCCCGATGCGGAGGCACCCGGCCCTCAAGATGAGATGCCGGCCTATACGCCCCACGTGGTATTCGGCATGGTCGCCGGGTAGTGGTACTTCCATTGTTGTGGGGTCCTTAGCATTCCGACCGCAGCGGTGAGCGACCGGGTACTGAGAAGTGTCATGTGAGGGATTCATGTGGGCAAATGTTGACATCGAATGCGCCTATCCAAGACGAACAACACTGTCTCAACTTGCAAAGATAAACCAAGAACCAGAGAAGGTGCTTGCGATTCTAACGTTTACTCGGGATGGTAGAGGCAATGACCAAGGTTGACAGAGGTACTTAGGCTAAAACCCAGCTCTGTCACCCTTTGCTCCAAGCGTGAGCATTGTGCCATTCGCGTTGTCAAATTGGTGGTTTCACATACTTCCGCCCACCATGATGGGAAATATGGAGGGCATACAGACCAAACAATGCCTCCATCTCCGATACGCAGTCTTTCTGTCAAGTCTTCCTATTGGCCCAATTTGATTAAGACCTTTTTCGCAGGAACATTGACTTCAATTTGGGTGAGTGACATCTCACTTGCAGCTTGGGCTGCATCCATTTTGCCTCGGAGGTTATCGTCATACTACCTACCAATGGCGCAAGTGGATGGTAGCCAAGCCAAACTCGACTATGGGCATCGACCGGTAGTGCTTATTGAGCATCGAAGGATACACCTGCGATTAATGTGCACATTTCGTTGGCATGTCCGCCATGCACGTCGCGCAGCTTTGATATGGACTTTGGTTGGGAATCAGTCTTCTGGGTAAGGCACCAAAGGTTTGGCGACACTACACCTTTGGACTTTCGATTAGCCAACCAGTTGGACAATATTATCCACCTCATGATTCCGTTCTGTTAATGCCTTACTTCCTCATTGGGCTCTTTTCTACTATACGAGCAGCCAAAACACAATGAAGTTATCAGATCAAAGGCCATCCATGAACCACAAAATCGGCGCTGATGAGGCATAAAGGTATTTGGAGACACTGCCAGTTGGCACTCCAAGGGCCGTACCATTGTTACCCACTTCTACCACGCTCAGGGCGATTCCTTGGAAAAGACACTCCTCGGCATGCTACGCTCTTTGTCGTGCGAACATGTCAACAAAGAGCAGCCGACATATCCGCGCTTTCTTCCCCTTTTCCACCAGGAAACCCGACTCCACCAAAGATGGAAGTGGCGCGAGTTTGGACTGACGGAATTGCTTCCTTCCGAGTGAAACTGTATCTGGATGCAAGTTCGGAAAAAGGCCACTACTCCTCAATTTCACCGATCCCTTGGATGAATGCAGGAACTTGCAGGTTCGACACATAGAATTTTTCGAACAACTATCACTTACCTTCGTTCTGGGACCAACGTTTGGATTTCTTCAGACTATCGGGCGGCCATTGTCCACATATTGCTATGGCAAAAGATCAGGAGTTTGTGATAGAAACCAGGACCGGACTTTACAAGGATATTGCCACACACGTCCACGACAATCTGACGGTCTCGAACCCAGATATTGAGAAGGAGGTTCCCAACAAGACATCCGGTATATATTCTTCATGTGGGTCGTGCTCGTTGTCGCAATGCTACCCTAACAGAGAATATGACGAGGGCAAGATCGAAGTGATCGAGCAGAGGTTACTTGTACATGGGGTTCCTTTGCAGGGAAGAATAGGCCGACCTTTGTTTGGGGCATGGAATTGGAGGATCACTTCAAAGTACAACATCTTTATTTTTTCAATGGTTTGCCTCTCTTTGTAGAGAGGAACAGAGCAGCTTTCTGCTTTTTAGAAAGGCGGGCATGCTCCATCTCTCAGTCATCCTACCAACATAGCAAGGACTTGAGAAAGACATTTCATTGCACAAAGAGAATAAGATCAGACGGCTCTCATCCTATGTTCAAGGTGTGCCAATGGGTTGCTACTACTGAGTCAATGGAGAGGTGCTTGCTTGGCGCTTGGATCGATGCCATGGCGAGTTGTGAAGGTCTGTGCACCTCGATGCTCTGACTGTAGCTACAACCTGTACCCAACGGACAGCAACCTTCCAAGGCCTCCGGCACAATGCAACGGTGATACCCAAAGGCGGGTTTGCAGAGCTCGTGGGAAGCAGATTGTGCCGGCTGGGCACTCGGAGGCTGTCGGGGTGGGGCCGGTGCGGAGCCGGGGGGGAGGCCGGGGAGCGTTTCAAATGTCGGGTGTGGTCGGACACTCGCCACAACCAGGTGAAGGAAAGAATCTGAGCGGTCGGCCAATTGGTGACTCTGCCGGTGTGCCCAGTGCAGCTGCTATCCGAACGATGCCATTCCCAACTCTCAACGTTTTTGGGCCTCACCTCATCCACAGCTCGGGAACATCCGGAGTACGGGGGTTATGTCTAGACGGGTCTATAACAAGCGAAGAAAACGTCAGACAAACTACTCGAACATTCCGAATCAGCTCCGGCCCCTCGGTGTGTGTCTGTGCAATACGAGTAGGAATTCACTCTACGAACGCGACCCACTGAAACTGTGTCATGATGGATGAGCCTGGCAACACAGACATACCATCCGGGTATATAAGGGGGCGCGATTCTTCAAGAGATTCGATCATCATCGATCACACATCCTCAAGTCCTCACTTACCAACATCCATTCCGTCAATACAACTCCATCAATCGCCCAACATGGTCCTTACCAAGTACAAGGCCGCAGCGGTATGTCAAAGCAAGAATGCCTCAGTCGACTATCTATTCTGACGCCAAAATAGGTTACCTCTGAGCCCTGCTGGTTCGATCTCGAGGGAGGCGTTCGCAAGACGATCGACTTCATCAACGAAGCGGGTCAGGCCGGCTGCAAGCTCGTTGCCTTTCCCGAAGTATGGATCCCCGGCTATCCATACTGGATGTGGAAGGTCACCTACCAGCAGTCGTTGCCTATGCTGAAGAAGTACCGCGAGAACGCGATGGCCGTTGACTCGGACGAGTTCCGTCGCATCAGAAGGGCTGCTAGGGACAACCAAATGTATGTGTTATCCGGTCACCAGCCCCAACCTCGATGATTGAGTAATCCGTCATGAAGCTAACACAGCACTTGCACAGTTATGTCTCGCTCGGCTTCGCCGAAATTGACCACGCCACCCTTTACCTGGCGCAAGCTCTGATCGATCCCACTGGCGAGGTCATCAACCACCGCCGCAAGATCAAGCCCACCCATGTCGAGAAGCTCGTCTACGGCGACGGCGCGGGTGACACGTTCATGTCGGTCACCCCGACCGAGCTCGGTCGCCTCGGTCAGCTTAATTGCTGGGAGAACATGAACCCCTTCCTCAAGTCGCTCAACGTCTCGATGGGCGAGCAGATCCACATCGCCGCGTGGCCCATCTATCCCGGCAAGGAGACGCTCAAGTACCCCGACCCTGCGACCAACGTGGCCGACCCGGCGTCCGACCTCGTGACGCCTGCCTATGCCATTGAGACGGGTACCTGGACGCTGGCGCCCTTCCAGCGGTTGAGCGTGGAGGGCCTCAAGAAGAACACGCCCGAGGGAGTCGAACCCGAGACGGACCCGTCGACGTATAACGGCCATGCGCGCATTTACAGGCCGGACGGCACTCTTGTCGTCAAGCCAGACAAGGACTTTGACGGACTGTTGTTTGTCGATGTACGTTTCATTCACTCCATTCGGTTGTTTTTTTTTTTTTTTTTTTTTTTTTTTTTGGAGGCAAAAAGAGATACTAACATTGATATTGTACAGATCGACCTCAACGAGTGCCACTTGACCAAGGCGTTGGCTGACTTTGCTGGACACTACATGCGGCCGGATCTCATTCGTCTCTTGGTTGACACCAGCCGCAAGGAGCTCGTCACCGAGGTGGACCGCAATGGCGGCATTGTACAATACTCGACGCGGGAGCGCTTGGGGTTGAACACGCCGCTTGAGAATGACAAGGAGGGAAAGAAGTGAGGGAGGACTATCGGTTAGGCGTCGCGGGGCTTGACTGCGGCTCGCTTTGGATCAGGCCTGATCGAACAAAAAGATTGTGCGCGGGTCGCTCATCTTTTTAAAAGTTTGGCTACCCTCTAGGTAGACTTTTTCACTAATCTCCACTCCATTCTTCAATATCATATGAATTACCACTACTTCTGCTCGTTTATTTGTGAATGTCTGTGCAATGTGTAGGAAATCAACATGAAGAGATGAGGGAGCGGCGAAAAGCATTGCTTCAGGGGTTTAGAAGAAAAAGGATACTGAGCGAAGTAAACAATCACTAGGCAGTCAGTCGTCTTATACCCATGTTTCTTTATCTCATCGTACATATCCCTTTTTGTCCCATCAGACCTGACATTCAGACGAGAACTGCCCGCCACCGGCCCTCAGACTAGTACAATCAGTTGTCTGAACTCGTCATCTACTTGGGTAAAGATATCCAACAGTTCAGCTGAAAGTCAAAAAAAGGATGGGCAATAAATATCAACAGAAAACCCCGTAAGTAAACAATCGCCACACGATATCTTGTACAAGAAATGACAACTACAGATTTCCTTTTTTCCTCCTCCCTCATTTATTTACATAAACACTTATCCATCTTATCCCATCCCAGATCCATCCTATCAATCCCATCGATCCCGACCCCTTCTTTCCTTCTTTCTTTCTTTCCTTCCTTCCTTCGAGTGCACCCCACCCCTCATTCAAAACAGAAACATTTGAAGGTAAACTACCAATTAACCCACACAACCTCAGGTAATACCCCCCTCATGATCTCCCAGTGTCCCAGTGCGCTTTCCGTCTGCCACTTTTCCAACACGGCCGTTTCGTTTTTCCTCAGGATACCCAGCTTTTGCGCCTCTTGTACATTTCCATGGACAGCTCTGAGGAGATCGTCGTCTGTCACCTCAAACTTGGGGAGTAGGAAGGCTTCGCGGCTGGGACTGTTGAGGAGGTCGCGGGGGGTTGGGTTCCTGAAAGAAATTTCCTGAGTGGGAGTAGAAGCCTTGGTGCAGAAAAAGACCATGTTGGTAAAGTCGCGGCCGTTGTGGGCGGCGGCTTGGGCTTCGTCGCGAGGGTGTTCGCGGAAGATGCGGCAGGACGGACCAGAACCGAAAACGGAGCGGATGGTGTTGGTGATGAGGAGGGGTGGGGGGTGGGAGAAGTCGCCTGCGTAGTTCTGCGTTGTGATGTTAGTTGTGGTTATAGAAAGAGAAAGAGGAGGAGAGGGGGGACGTACGATGGCGATGACGCCGTTTGGCTTGAGAAGGGAGTGCAAGTTTTGGAGGAATTCATAAGTGAAGAGAGCGACAGGCTCAGCGCCGCCGGTGAAGACGTCGTGGATGATGTAGTCATATTGACCGACACCTTGAGTTTCGTTGACGAGACGGTCGGTGTAGCTTACGGCGTCTTCGATGACGGCGGTGTGGTTGGACGGAAGCTGGAAGTACTTGGAGGCGAACTCGTGGACGACAGGGTCGATTTCGACAACGGTGGTGTTGATGCCGTGGGCAACGAGAGCGGCGGGGGTGGTGCCGATGCCGAGGCCGCTGGGATGAGTTAGTCGCTAGTTTGAGATGATGAGATGGGGAGGACTCACATAACAAGGGCCTTGGCTTCGTTGTCAGGAACCGGGTTAGGTACTTCTACCAACCGCACGGCCTCCAGCATGGCAAAGACACCATAGATAGGCTCAGCAACCTGGTTCCCCTTGAACCGAGGAGTGTCCTTGAACTTGACCCACTCGCCACCAAGCAGACTGTGGTCACACCTCAATACCCGGAACCCATCATTCAGACTGTCCACTACTGAAATATATCCCGTGATTGAGTCTCGGCGGTCCAGCACATGCCATCCCTCCTTCTCCAGCCCGCTGTTCAACCTAGAAAGCGCCATAGGCGAGGCCAGATGCGGGTTCAAAAGCGTAGTGTGCAACAAGGCAGGCACCCCCAACAACAAGAACTTGGACGGCGCAATGGTCGTGTAGGAAGCAGCCAACAAGCCCTCCAGTCCGATCCTGGTCATGTAAAAGTTCTTGCCGATGTTCTGCACAATGAAGTCCCCGCTCAACTTCTCTGCCGCTTTGAAGAAGCCGAACGAGCCCAGACCAGGCACCGCCTCAGCAATGGCCTTGGGCAGCGGTCCAAAGTCGGCATACTCCAAGTTCGTAGCGACGCAGGCCGAGGAGATGGTGATTAAGGGGAACAGCGTCAACAGCTCCGTGACCAGCGGGCCATAGTAAGCGCCCATGTACCCACTGGCCTTGAAAAGGAGGTATTGAACAGGTGGGATGTACATGGCGATCAGAGGGAGAAGCTCGACAGGCTCAATGGGTAAAGCGCGATCCAAGAAGATGTTGGAGGCCCAGCCGGTGAAGCAGCCGGCCATGACCAGCTTGGAGTGCCATATCGCCGCGGGGATGGAGCCGTAAACGGGCGAGAGCACGAGCTGGGAGACGTTGGAGGCGATGGCGATGAGAGCGAGCAGGATGAAGGTGTGGGTGTAGATGGCGAACTGACCGGCCCAGTAGCCCCTTTGGGAGCGGGCCTTTTTGGCGAGGTCTTTGAGTTCCTGCTCGTAGGCTTCTTTGGATTTGGTGAGGAGGTCAGGGGCGGATGTTGCTGTTGTTTTTGGTACTGATTCTTCGGGGGTGGTGGTGGTGGCCTTGGAGGCCTTGCCCCTTTTTGTTGCTTTGGGGGGCATGATGTGAGGTCAGAGGTCAGATGTCCAAGGTCATGAATGAATGAGAAGAAGTGAAGTTATGAGTTGAATGAAGCACTCATGGTGATAAAGACACCTCAGGAGAATTGATGAAGCAGCCAGCTGCAATGTGGTCTCATCGTCTTGGTGGTGGTTGCATCGCGTTTCATGAGAAGGACCAAAGTGGAAATGAGCTCTTCTCCATCGCGACGAGGAGGGGTAGCTTCCGAAGAAGTGGATCCCATTGGCCCTATGGCCGGGGTTTGGCGCGCTCTTACAGGCCAACGGGCGCTGTCAGCAACCGACGGACCCACAATATTGCGCTAAAGCGGTCACTAACGTGCAACAACCGGGGGGTACCTAGAGGTAGCCCCACAGCGAGCCGGAGAAATGTTGGGCGATAGCGTCATTGTTGCCCGTCGAATTGACACGTGAAACTCAACTGAACTTGTCTGTCCATGGACACTTCGATTCCAAAGCCACTCAGCGTCTCCGATGCTTTCCATGATGCCGAGAAGTCTTGGTCTCTCAACATTTTATTGGGGTTTACCAACTTAAGTCTGTCCTCCTCCCGCTCTCTTTTTCCCTCTCGACCTCTTGACAGCACAACTACCACGAACAAACGAACACCTCTCCCCCAAACTATCGCCAAATCATCGCCAACATGCCTCTCGTCGCCCTAGGTGTCGCCGACCTGTTCAACTTTGTTGACTACAGCAAGACAAGCCTTGCCAGTATGTGACTCCACCACCATTCACATGTCATTTTCCGTTCGCGATCCATCCTGCTAACCACCTTGCGCCAGTCTCTGCTGCTGCCATTGCCTTTAACCCTACCTTCTGGAAGTGAGTCTCGTGTGTCCTCGACCTGATCGCGACATCGGCTGACCCCTCCCTAGCATTGTTGCCCGCAGAGGTTCGTCCGCGCAAACCTCACCTGCTCAACGACCCAACGCTCGATAACAAGACCTCCTAACACATCTCCACAGAATACCGCACCAAGTTCCTCACGCGCGCTTTCGGCGGCAATGCCCAGGTGGCCTGCTACTTCCTGGCCGTCACCATCTTCGGCCTCGGTCTTGTCCGCGACTTCCTCTACGAACGCGCTCTCCGTGACCAGCCCTCCCACCCGCTCCTCGAGGGCACCTATGTCAAATACGCCGCCTATGCCCTCCTTGCCCTCGGCAACCTCCTCGTCATCACCTCTACACTGCGTCTGGGTATCACGGGAACCTTTCTTGGTGACTACTTTGGCATTCTGATGGATGGCATTGTCACCGGCTTCCCCTTCAACGTCACCAGCGCTCCCATGTACTACGGCTCCACCATGAGCTTCCTCGGCACCGCTCTCTTGTACGGCAAGCCCGCCGGTCTTCTTTTGACCGCCTGGGTTCTCTTCGTCTACATCATCGCTATCCAATTCGAGAACCCCTTCACTGCCGAGATCTATGCCAAGCGCGACCGCGAGAGGGCCAAGGCTGCCGGTACTGGCAAGAAGGAGCTTTAAATCCGAGCACAAGAACAAATTTGCAAACGAAGGCGGTCTCTGAGCTGTTGATTCAGTCTTGGGGATCACCGTGCCCAACAGAAAGGTTGGGCTTATGGGCATGACGTACGTCCTCCTCTCCCCCATCATGGCAAACACCAGCTGACCCAACATGTGTCACAGGAAAATTGTACATCGCCGGGTTACGTACGCGCACAGTCAGTGTGATGGTGACAGTCACAGGTCTGGTGCCTAATGTAGCCTCCGCTCTCAACGAACGGCATATGGTGATTGTTATACTGGTGCGTGAAAGAAAGCACCGGACGAACAATGTTAGAAGCCTGCCAAGATATCAAAGAGAAGGGTGATGATGGTGATGATGACCATATGCGAGAAACAGGTGCGTCCGGTGCGTTGGCCATCAACTGGTTCCAATGGAGACCAATATTGGTGTAGAAAAGATATTTGAACATAATACAAAGATGGATATATTCAAAGGCAAATGATACAGCTTGGCTCAATATGAGTCTGACCTACCCTCCTCTATTTCTTGTTTCTTCTGTTTGCGGCAGCAATGCTGGATGACGATGGTCGCCTGGGAGAGAAGCAGTCATGTTCTGACGACGAAATGACCACGCCCCACTATGGTAATGCTTTGTGGCCTGGATGGGTATGTATAAAAGGCCCACGATCTACCACACAATGATCCCCTAACTCCATCACCTGGGCTACCTGGCCAGGCAACTTGACTGAAGATCTTGCGACAAGGGCCATTCAATTTTACCAAGTTCCCAAAATAATCCAAAAGCAGTCCAAACCCCCACAAAACCTAGGTCACGGCACCCAACCCATCAAGACGCTCTTTCTCCACGATTGATATCCTTGTGTACGAATAGAGCCGGCCAACATGTGGCTGTGACACCGCCTTCTCATCATCCCATATATACGCACCCAAAGCACCCACAATATACGACGCCGACAACGCTTCTGGCTCTATTGAAAGTGAGGAGGCCAAACCTCACTAGCAAAATGCGGGTCTGAACTTCCGCCTTGGCCATTCCAACACTTGTTCAGGCGATGAACTACCTAGGGCATAATAGTATATAAATCCAGCCCCAAGTTATTTACTTTGTTTACTACCTGTCCTCAGATAACTCAACCCGCTATGTCTCTCAACAGTCAGTCAGCCTGCTCCGCCTGACATCCCATACATGACTCACTGCACTAACACCAATAGCTTCTTCAGGAGCGAGAGTAGCGCTACCGTCTAGATCGCTCTGCCCGCCGGCAATGTACCGGTCACTGAGTCCCTACGGACCTTACAGCGTCTCGTGGGATCCAAATATGCTGTTTCTCACATAACAGCATCGACTGACCAATCTTAAAGACCTATCGAGCCATACCATACCGAGCCGAGCCGAGCAGAGCCGAGTCGAGCCGTGACCGCCAACTTGTGCTCTATCCTCTTGCTGTTGGAGTTTCTCGAGAGAAACAGGCCATACTCGGGACGATGACCATCTCCGCCCCGAATACATTCTCGACTCGAATCTCGATGTCTAGTAGGACTCTGTTGAGCCCTCCCGTCCCAGCAACCCCGAGCCTTTTCTACACCTCAGAGCCGCTTGCTTTCGATGGGCAGCCATCCCCATTCATCTCCAGGTACGAACAAGCCAATGTAGTGGCGCGATCTCGGCCCAACCAATTCCAATTCCAATTCACCCCATCACATATGAGACGAGAAGAGGTGTGGTGTCGTTGGTGCAGGGCTGGAGAAGATCAGCCTAATCAGGAGTCGGCCGTGATTAGCAGAAATGATGAAGTTTCGGGACTTTGGGTAGCGGGGAAGATGTAGTGAGCAGCGCTGGGAAATAGTTGACAAGGAGGGTGGTTTGATGGAGGAGTATGGTTTGGAGCGTTTACATGGGAGTTGACGGGAAAGGAGCGAATGAACCCCCTTTCGATTTTGACATTGACGAGGTAATGTCTTTACACATTCTTCCCACCTTTAGGTAGCTAGTTTACACCAAATTGCTCAGCTTTGGCAATGATGACTTTTGTTTCGAGTAGGCTTGTTCGCGGATGTATAAACAGACAAAACAAGCAGACAAACACACATGAGAAAAAAAAAAAAAAAGAAAAAAAAAAGGAAACAAGCCATCTCACCAGCCCAGCCCTCCCTCAAGAACAACGACATTACTGATGAGAAGCTCTGTGGGTACCTAATATAGCGCCCAGTAGGTAGCATAGCGCTATCTGCCTGCCCTTCGAGTTCCGTCTGACCGATGGATTTCGGCCGCTGCCGACAATAACTCCCTGCTGCGGCTCCGACTTCCACTTTGGCTGGGAACACCCACCGCTCTGCCCGTCCACGGCTAATCTGCGACACTACCTCACAGAACTTGACTAGCGACTGGGGAGGGGATGTTGGCGAATTTGCCTCTGTTATTACGGCCAAGCCTTTGCCCTTGTAAAAACAATTGGTACAGACACCTTGTAGAAGCAATTGGTGCAAGTGCCTTTGCTGACGAAATTTCCGCCTGAGACACATTCGTCAAAAGGCCCATACTTGTTTGGCGTTATGCATTTGGTCCAAGAGCCGCGTGGTGATAGGGAGGGATCCTTTGGCTGTTGGGATTTTGGTTGTCCAACAGGCCGGATGGCGATGGATGATGTCGTCCGCACCTTTGTTACCGTCGTCTTTATTTTTTTGCGGCAATCTTTTGCTCTCCGGCACCCAGGCATGGGCGTCAGTTGAGATCTCAGACATTGGCACCAAGAAGAAATCAACAGTCACTCTGCCACAGAGAGCAAGACCGGTATATGTGGTGAAGCGAGACGGAACCGTGGCAGTTCGTGTCGACTTGACCGGAGCAACGGAATTCGCATCGACCATTGAAGAATGCTACAACTGTCCTGACTGAGTGCAGCTGAATGACATGACAATACTGTCTATTAAGGGCGTCCGCAAGCAGTGGGAGGGCAAAAGAATGCCCCAGAGTATCAGCAAGCTCTTGGACATGCCTGTAAGCAATCACTTTACACCCCTTTCAAATATTTTCATTTCCGTAAGGCTAACCCTTCTACTCCGTAGGTTCTGCGCCATTTGACATTTAAGAGTTCGGCCCCTGGCACTGAGGGTGCCGAAATCGCACACAACCGTAACTCACGTATCGAGGCGTAGCTGATTACGGTCGTGGGCGATCAGACTCCGTGCGGTGCGTGCGGGTCGCGCGGAATTTTTGAGAAGTGCAGTAGGGTGGAGGGTGTTGCCTCCAAAGCATGCAACAACTGCCACTACAATGGCGGGGGCACGCAATGCCCGAACCACATCAGACACACCCCTTCCACGACATCCCGCAACCGTGGAAAGCACGCCGTAGAGGACGAAGAGGTTGCGGAAAGCCCGGTCGCGGCCAAGAAGGCACGCCTGGACAGCACTGCTCTTGAAGCATCAATCTTCATCACCGACTTGTCCCTGATTGCTTGAACAAAACGACCTGTCAAGGTGCTCGGCCGTCATCCAAGCGAGCAGCAAACACCACAAAGCCGGATTCCGCTGTTAAGAAATCAACACGGCGCTCGCCAAAGACCAAAGACGAGATCCCTGATTCTGCCTTTCCCCCCCCTCAGCGCCAGCAACTTTTGAATGGCTACTTCGGTTTTATCGGGCCGGCTCGTGCCCCTCCGACAGGCCCATCCCGGGCTCTGAAGCGCTCAAAGAAGGATACTGTTGAGTTGGGGTCGCGCTCCATCAAGCAGCTTTTCAACGCCATCCCTCCTACTATCATCATCTCTGATTCCGAGGAAGACGTTGATTCCTCCAGCTCCGCAGCCTCCGCTACACCAACCCTGAACCGTCTTACTGATATCCGAGCGTTCACAACGCTCGTTTGGGAAGCAGGTCTCCAGCAAATAGAGGTATTCAAGTGCCCGTCTAAGCACGACAATGTCATCCGGCTTGTCAACGACAAGGACTTCGTGCCGTCTTTCGAGCTTGGCCACCCAGATGGCCTTGTGAAGCCGGGTGTGTCGGGTGAATCCGGGAGTATCTCCGGGATATTTTCAGATCCTGGGGGTACCGATGGTGGTATCTGTTGACGAGCTCTCTGAAAGGGGATCAATTAATTGGTGGAAAATCCCCTCGACCTCTTCACGGGAAGCCTTGGCCGGTGTCGCAACTCTTATCTCCTGGACTCTCGCAGGAAGGATCCTCGTTTGGTTCTCTATCTCGTATATCATGTCACTGTACTTTATTAGCTGGCGTGGCGGTTGAGCTATGCGCCATACGCTCAAGGAAAGGGTTGTTCTCGCGGAGAACACGATGGAAGGCACGCGCATCAATGGCGGAGGTGGCGACCTCACCAGCCTCGGGCTCGGGGGTGATGGTGTATCGATGACTTGGGATGAAGAAATTCCCTGGCAAGAAGACCAGATGAAACGACAGGTGCCATTCCCTGGGAAATCCTCCGATATGATTGAAGAGACGCGTCGAATCCATGGAAATTCTCGGGACTTCAGATGAGTACCTTGGGTAGGGAATTTTGGGAAGGTCTACGGCCCTCCACACGAGACTTTTTGACTCGAAAACCTATTCTCGAATCAACTCAAGCCTCCTATACGACGTACCGCCTGGGTGGCCCTCCTCCAACTAGGAGTACCGCGCCCAGACGGCAGAGGGCTGCCGCCGACAGGTGCTCGAGTTCTTCGAGCGGGCGCGGGGGATGCAGCAACTTTTGCCCTCGGCGGGCACACAGGCGTCGTGGTCTCCCATTGTCATGCACTGGGAGCACCAGGCAAACGAAGCGCCGTGAATGGGCGCCTTGGTGAACTTGCGGTTCCCACCGCCACTACCGCTCGGAGTCTGGGAAGCCGGAGAGACCGGAGGGGCCATAGCAGGAGCAGCGGAAGCAGGAGAAGCAGCGGGAGCAACAGCAGGCGCGGGCGCGGGCACGGGCGCAGGAGTGACTGCGGGCACCATCACCGCGCGATCTCTGCTCGGGGGTCGATGGAACCTCGGGGAACCAGTCGATGATCTTGTGGAGCAGCGATGCGGCGAGTTCCAACCGACACAATGTCTGCTGCTACTGCCGGCGACGATGAGGATAACAGCTGCTTCAACGCTGGTAACTTCTGTTCTTCGAAACCTATCAGTCACTTGTGTCGAGGCAGTGGTGGTGGCGATGACAACGATCGTGGCGGACGCGCTGATGATAGCGGCCATAACGACAGGCATGGTCAAGCACCACCCCAAGCAGACCCAACCCCCGTCAAAGGGACCTCAATCCTTCTCGCGTTTAGCCCCCTATAGAGCTTCCTTGGGCTTGTTCGAGTTCCTCCAGGATATCTCTGTAGGCTGAAGTTACTGCGTACTCCATCCTGTGGATCCCACTCCTTGATCGCTGGGTAGTGACATTGTGTCGGCGGATGGCCGCGAAAACGTCTTGGCCAACCTCATCTTGGCTCTCATCGTCATCATCGTTTTGGCCATCTTCGAAAAGATCAATGTCTTCGTTGCCATCGAGTCCTTCGACCAGCTGGGAGATATGATCCCTTTGGCAAGAAGCAGTCTTGTTTTCTGGCGCCCCTGTCCAAAGCGTCGTGAGAGCACAAGCCCTCGTATGTAACAGAGGTGCCCCATTTCCTATTGGTAGAGGTAAGCGCGGGCCTGGTTTGGGAATAGGAGGTCGACAAAAGGTTACAGGGAATCTTAACCTATGGGATAGGAGGCTGTTGGTGTCTAGATCTTCGGTATCAGACTCTGTAACCGGATCGTGGATGCCCTGGAGCAGAAGCCGTGGTAGTCTTGGGCTAGGTATTGGAGGAACGAATTAAGGTCATATCGTGACGGTTTCGTTTCTCGCTCTCTTCAGAATCTTGTCCGATTTGACCACGTCAGTAACGGCTGGTATTTGAGATGGAAAGATAAGTACGCACCTTTAAGAGCCATAGAGTGCTGCATTGCAAAGGGTTTGATCCGTCGATGCCATGGTGTTCGTCATCCTTTGGCCAAGGACAGTGGTCCTCGGTCTTGACTGTTGTTTTCTCCCCCGGAGTGGAGTTTTGCTGCCCTCTTGTTGGCCCTCCACTAGCGCTCGGGCGATCCTTTCTCAACCGTTCTTCTCTCTCTTGGGGAGTTTCAGCAGCTTTCGTTTCGGCCCTCCGTTGGTGCATGAGCTCCTTGAGTGGCATCAGAAGGCAATGATGCGTCACCAATCCACTGCCAGACTCGTGAATGATGTGCTGGATCTGGTGGGAAACGATACAGGGCACTCTTGAGCATAGCGTTGGTCACGATTGCGATTTCATTGCCCAGGGCGCGGTGGGCAAGCGCAACGCGATGAATGGTCATTGGCGGTCTCAGGCCCGACTTGGTCAAGATTGTTCTGTGATTGATAACGCTGGCGGGCTTCGACGGGCCAGCTGGTGGATGGAGGAGGCAAGTTGTCTCCCGTTTTCGGTAGTCGCCTGCTCCGTGCCCCTTTCCAGGACTAATACCTAGACTTGGACCCAAACCACCATTCACTCGCGTCTCGTGCTCCTTCCTCACGCGTCAACACGTCACCGCTTTTAGACCTTTCATCATTTCCGTCTGAACTTTCTGCCTGAACTTTTGTCGAGCGTTGCCCCTCCTCAACTTTTTCTTTCCCGACTTGCTTCCTCGACTGATTATTCTTGCTCCAACAACCAAGAAAAACTTGCCTCTCGAGTCATCACAATCCAGTCTAATGCAAAATTCGATTTGCTCTTGGTCGACCGCTAAAATCTATCATCATCGCAGACCAAACACAAACATGTCGCATATGCAAAACCGCGATCACAGCGAGCAGCCCACTGAGCAAGTCGCTCATTCTTCTTCTTCCAATTCAGCTGCTGGTTCACAAGCTGTTCCCGCTCGCTCTGCTGGCGATCAAATGGATCGTAATTCCCCAGAGAAAGTCACTCTGTTCACTGCCGATGAAAGTCTTTCCGAGCAAGTTGCTTCGCCCACTCCTGAAAATGCAGTCCAATCGAGAACCAATTACCCAGTTCAGAACTGCGCGATCCAAAATGCTGTCGAGGTTGAGGAAGTCGTCGTCCTCCCCTCAATTGAGTCAAGCAAGGAGAACTCCCAGCTCAAGAGGCAATGCGATGCTATTGCCAAGCACGAACAGTCCAAGGGCAAAGGCAAAGGCAAACCTGGCACATGAGGGTTTGTCGCGGCGCCGATGCGCTGCCGGCTGTGTTGGAGGGTACATAGGCTAAAATCAAATTGAGTTTTTGTTTTCGCCTCCATGCTAATGTGTTTTGTTGTCGTTGCGTGCTCCCATAGACGCAGTTTCATGTAGGGAGGCTCTTCTCCAGTGGAGCGCCGATTCGCTCTCTGGGGCTCGAGAAGGAAGCATCTTGCTGCTTCCAAAACCTAGAGTCCACAGAGCCACGATGCCCGCTGCTCATCTTTAATCCCACCTCCTGAGAAGGTCGCCGTGCCTTTGAAAGACCACTTTCCGCCTCTCTGTGCTGTCACGACGTCTTTGATCACGTCAGCTGGGAACTTTGGGGTTTTGAAGTCGGAGTCAGGCTCCCTGGCTTTGCCCTTGCCCCCGCGGGCCGTCTTTGCTTGCTTCAGGAACGCCTGTTCAATGTTCGGAAGGTGCAACAGGTTGCGAAACACAAAGTGAGCATATGGAATCTGGGCTTGCTCGTTCGTTTCCCCGATGCCGCTCTATATGCGCTGCAATGTGAGAACTTTCGCCGTATCAGGGTGGTCGCGGCGCTGAACGCAACGATCCATCAGATCGTCGAAAGTTTCTTTGGACTAGGGTGCGAGCCCGCCGGTCATCCCCTTCCTTCATCTGACTAGGGTATTCATACCAGACGCGGATACCAAGGCCTGGGAAAAATCCCCGTACACTCACTCCTACGCCACCCTCCCGTCAGCTGGAGCCCAGACAGAAAAGACACCGCGAGAGCTCCCCTCCCGTCCGGGCCCCTCCCTCCTGTTTGGCCTCATTCAGTTTTCGATCACTGGAACCATTCAGATTTGAGCACGCCCGAAGCTCTTTGAACGTCTGCACGACTAGACCGGGTGGTAGGATCAGCATACTAGGGTATGCCCGCACAGGCTTTCCTTGGGAGTGAAGGTCCTGCACCCGTAGGTACTCCATCTAAAGAACAGTGCCCTTAATAAGCGTTTACTAAGGTAGGAGAAGGACTTACGGCTCTGGACACACACGTTGCGGCCAACGGCTTCCATACGTGGCCGGCGGGGGAAGCCAAAGGAAGGGCGACGACTTCAGCGCGCCAGGTAGAACTTGCTACGGCAAGAACTTCATCACCTCCATGGGCTTCTCCCCAGACGCCTTTGTACAGATGGCCTTCCAAGCAGCCTACTACGGCCTCTACGGCCGCGTCGGTTTTTGGGAAATAATATCATTGTGCAATCATTGTACTCCCTCCCACCAAACAACATTCTTCCACCAACTTCCCCAGGGAGTCTCGCGGGCCTTGCTAAGTTTGAAGTCAGTGATACAACAAGAGGACTAGGGAAATGCTTACCCGATGTTGATGTGGAGGACGGTGGCACGGTACTCGTGCAAGAGGGTGCGCTGGGCGGGGGTGAGGGCAGCCATGGTTGGAGAGGTGTTGTTACAGAAATGAACAACGCGCGTGGAGGAGGAAAGAGGGGAGGGGGAAGAGGAGGAGGGAGGGGATGGGTTCCCATAGGAACCAGGGAGAGAACCCGAGGAATACATGAGAGGCCGTGGCTCTCTGTTCAGTTCAGTTCTTGGTTCCCATCAAAGTATAATCCTGGCGTTTTCTGGGAGAAAAAAGTTTCCTAGGCGATAATAACTCCCACACCAAACCAGCGACGCGTCATGACTCCTTTCAAGACGTTTCATTTTTTCCATTCAATTTTCAACTGATATTACTGATATGTTGCAAGGGGTCAAGGGCCTCTCTACAACGGAGGGGGGTACGAGGAAAACAAGGGACGCCATGTACTCCCGGGGCACCCTATTCGACTCCCTTCGTCTCTATCCTCAAAACCGCTGCGGCCGCCGCATTTCGATCCGCTTCTCCTGCTGCTGCATCTCCTGCTGCGTGGTGTGTCTGTAAGGGGGGCTGCAAACATCCCGTCCAACCCATCTTTCAAATCGCTTCTTCCCTCTCCCCTCTTTCTCCGAATTCCATCCTCTTCCCGACCCCATTGTAAGTATCCCAATCATCGATGACCCCTGTCGTTCCTTTCTTCCCTCTCCAGTCACTATCGACACTAGGACAAATGAAGACGAGAAACGACAGAACCATGACCAATTTCGCGGACAGCACCATACCCAGTTCCGGTGCACTTCTCGACGAGTTGAGCACCCATTACAGCTTTGGGCACTCATCAATATCGCTGGCAATGGAAAATGGATCAATACCACGTTGTTCAGCAACTCCTTTCCGGCCTTGCAGTCATCGTCGGCACGAAGAGATTACCCAGATCACGGACGACCTCTTCAAAGATGTGTTCGTCGAGCTGCCCGAACACGAGGTCGAGGACCTCGCAATGCCGAGGGCGACTGGCCTTCCTCTTACGGTTGTCGCCAACCTCCATCGCACCGAGCCTAGCCCCCAACGTCGTAACATACTCCTAAATCGCACACAACTCATCGGAGGGGGCCGCCGCCGGGGCCGAGGGGCCGGGGAGAGGGAGAACCGTGAGATACGTACCCGGGTATTCGATGAGGTATCGCGTAGTGATGAGAAGGCCACATTAGGAGTTAGTACCGTCAAAAAGTTGATCCAACTCAACTACGATGGCGGGCTATCTTACATGTTCATGTACCTCATTGTTGACGCCCATCTCATACAGCCAAAAGACTGTGTCAACATGGTATTTGGGTCTCGGGAAGTCACCTTTGTTTGCATGGACAGTCAGGAAGTGTGCCGTAATCGAACACAGGCGGATCAGCCTCCTCGCTTGAAACATCCTTGACTGTTTTACCGAGTGCCCGAGCCCCCCTCACAAGCAACTCCCCGTCAGGAATGCAGTTGGTGAAGGGGTGGCGCCTAGAGACTAGGGATTTTCAAAGCGCACTGCTGGTGATCTCTTCGCGAACGCGGGACCGGGTCTCCTCCTAGGACGACCCGCTATCACTCGTCAACTGTGCGATCCGCTCAATCATGTTCGACGCCTCCGACAGATACTTTGCGGTCTGGGCGTCATCCTTGTAAAATAACGGGAACGAGGCGGTATTGACGTGTGGGTTGGTGATGGTCGGTTTTTCCCAACGACTTCCCAGGTCTTTCATCAAGTCCATGAGCGACCTGTAATCCAAGCGAGGGGACGGATCGCCAGAAAGGGAGAGGGGCAACCGCGCAATGCGGGCCAAAATCTTCGCGGCCCGCACCCAGGGGCGTAGTTGTCCATCATGTCTCTCATCTTCTGTCTCACCGGGGGCACCATCTCATTGCTGAAAAATATAGCCGTGGCATTCCATTTCCTCTGGCAAAGGTGTGGGAGCAAATACACGGCGTGATGGAACGATGAGAACGGAGTGTCCACGAGAGGTAGAGGCAAAGACGCGATTCGGGTTTTGGGTGCACGGCGGGGCGAAGTCTGGAAAAAGCGGAATTGTTAGCTTGGCGCAAATGAGCTCCTGATCGAATTGAAACCGAATGAAACTCAACTGGCAATAATATTCACTGCGTGGACTTGTTTAAACGTGTGGAAATGGAGAGTGTCCATGAAAAGTGGGAGGGCCAGTTTGGCGCGGGACAGGCCACCCGATTCCACTTCAGCAACTGGAGTGGGGACACACGACACGGGGCTCCTGAACCGCGACTTCCGGCTTTCTGGTCGCCAATTGTTTTGGGAAACAGGATTTGAGTCTCTGGCAGAAAATAGAAGGCATGTTAATGTCGAATGTGAAGAGACAATCACTTGATCACTTTTCCACTGCATTTTCTGGTCGCTTCGAAGCCGAGACCCGCATTATGGCTACTTCGACGATTTGTTCCGAGACAGCATCTGTCTCTTGCCTCGGGAGAGATTTCTGTACACGGGCCTCAATACCCACAATCCCATGCTTGAGATTTGGTCCCATGCATACATGTATACAATTTTGCAGTTATGCACACCGACAGAAAACCCCATCAACTATCGCGGTTACCAATCAGGAACCCGACAGCGTTCATCGTCTACAACGGACAATATTGACGGACGACATGAGGGAAGCCTCGGGATCGGATGATTTATTCTTGGGCGTCTCCAAAGCCGTCTTCTTTCGGAACAAACGGGAACCAGCGTCTCTTTTTGGGTCGGTTCGCTAGTGTTGGGAGTTGGCTTGTCAAGGACATCCAGGTTCGCAGAAGCTGGCTGATAAGTGGTCTCTATTGCCAGGAGTTCTTCAGGATCTGAGTCGGTTTCATGGGTGATTGGGTGCTGTCGAAGTACTACATATACCCCCTGTAAAGGTTTGGTACATAGGTTGACCTGACGGTGTTTGGAGATCGAGACTGAGACGCGACTTGGGATCAAAAGATAGGTAAGGGGCGGGGATATATCCCAATGGAAGGTACAAAAGGTATTGTCAGCTCCAAATTGCCCTTCGGCTTGAAGTGAGTGCCCCTCATACCATCATTACCTCTAATAAGAAGAATCTCTGACGACATGGCACCTATTAGCGGAGCTCTCGGCAATGGAGGCGGATGGGGAAAAGTCTGAGACTTTAAGCGAGTATGTTGGAGACGGTTTGCTATTTGGCGAGCTTGGGACTGTCGGGCTACGGAGAGCTTCGTAGTGGTCGGTGTATTCGTCCGCCGTTGCCCGCCCGTTATTGGAACCGTAGATCCATACAGTACCCGTATCGGCCGTAGTATTGTTGTTATCGTAGAGGTTGAGTAACCCAATACCTACTCATTAGGCAACCAAGTACCAAGTCTTGCTGATGGTCTTCGCACCATAGTTGTAGGATTAACGCCAACTGGTCGATGCTGTAGTTGTTCTCCAATGGCCTGACGTTTTTATCACTTATGGTGAATGTGCGTTCTCCATCAGCCATCTCGGCACCCTGGGCGATAGCATGGAGTTCCTCGATGGTAGGAGTTGTTATGCCGAATTGTTCGGCGACAGCAGGCAGCGGGCCAGAGAGGAAAGAGAGCGATCCGATCCCGAGATCTCTACAACACAAGCTCAAGCAACGCCAAAAGCTCACCAAGCCGTGGTTCACCCAGCCTTCCTCTAGCCTCGACGTTGCTATCATGGGCCGAACATAAGAGAGCAAGCCAGCGTCTCCCGAAGACTGTCGCCAACTATCTTCTAATAGCCGATTGGTTCGGTCCCCTGACTCATATGGAGCGCCCGTACAAGCCACAAAATTGGAATGGTGTCAAGTTCAACGACATGCATACCATTTTTAAGACATGCATCAAGTGAACTGCAGATGCATCAATGCCCATCAATGCGTACCGTAGAGAACGCGGGCGTACCGACCCTCCCGCCCCCTCTACACCGTAACTAGGTAGAGTTACCGACACAGGGACCTGGCATCCCCTGGCACAACCGATGCAAAGCAACTAAACATGCCCCTGGTCATGGCCCGTGAGGGCATTCGTGCTACCATCTTCGTCGCCCTCCATCGCTACACCACGCAACGAACCATCAAAGACCTCAACGCAAGTGCGCTGCACAGGGTGGTGTAAACTTTCGGCGGCTATCATGCCGACGATTGGGTCCAGATTTTTCAGACCTTTTCGTATTTTATGGCACGCCCCTCCGGTAGTATCTACGCGTGCTGCTCCCACGGACGAGGATAGACTCGGCAGGCCGCATGTACCCGGAACGGCTGAGTTATATACAGGAGGGAGTAATGCCCTTGGATTTCACCAGCCGATGCCAAAACATTCTCGTTGAAGGGAAAAGGTGGCGAAATCTGGCCACGCGATCAATAGGCGGGTGGAGACTTGAACTCGCAAACGTCACTCATGAGGAGCGCCGTTGCATGGTAGTCGGCAGGGACAACCGGCTGCACGGGAGGAACTGGTCAAGCCGGGTCGGGACTTGGGACGTCCTGGGCTCAAACTTGTCCCCCAAAGGAGCGAATAGCACGCCTCACGACAACTGGCGCCCATGTGGCCGGTCCGTTGCGGTTCTCCTTGTCCGTTGGGACTCTCTTCTTCTCTAGAGTCCGTTGAACTGCCCAAACCGGAATCTTCCCCAGGAGGAATAGCACGCTTCACGACAATCGGCCCTCACGTGGCCGTTGCGTTGCGGTCCTCATTGTCGGTTGTAACTCTCTTTTAGAGAGACCAGAGATCGGCGTAGCCAGAGTCACTACTTCTCTTCGGAACTAATCATCTTCCCGAAGTTTGGTGAGCTCTCTAGAGATAGGAATTGTGGCAAGCAATGTTTTTGTCTGAAGTGGTTGCCCACGAGATAGCCGGAGTTGTTTGACGGTTGTTTGGCTATTGGATGCCATGTAATGTCATGGGAAGCACTTGCGGCGGCCTTCAATGGGGCAGGCTAGGTGGCTGGCTCGTCGCGCCGTGCCCCCGCGCCCCTCCGCTACCGACCCGATTGTACCAATTCGATAGGTAGTGTGAAGCGCGGCCTCATCTGCTCGCCGCGCACCTGGCACAGAGGCACGTCCTGTGGTTGATGTCGCATGCTGCATCTTACAAAAGCCGAGTTCCGTCGTCAATGTAATCATGTCCGATCAAATGCGATATCTCGCCAAACAATATCATCACGACGGACCAGAAACGCACCATACCTTCAAAGGCCAGCTGATCTACCATGACATGACTGCCAAGGTTCGGGATGACGGCTGACGACGCTGAAACAATAACCCAGAAGCGAAGCTACAAGCCTTTTCCCTGGTCATGAGTAAGAGCATAAGGTTACAGTAAGAACGAATAAGAGTGGGGGATACTCACGGTTACGGGCTCGGTCAGAAATACAATAGACAGCAGCGACAGAAACATAATTGACATGTAACACTTGGGATTCAAAGGTAGCTACAGTGGGGTGCCAGAAGTCTGTGTGCCTTGTACCATAGGTCCGAGGTGACGTTCAGTAGGTAGGTAGGCCAACGTCTGGCCAGGCACTCTGTTCTTCGCAATCTTCTTGTAATTGGCGTCCGACGGTGAGATTTCCCGCGGAGTTCTCTGGACGAACACCAGGTCTTCGTCGGGTTGCTCCGCAATAGCAGGGAGTCTAGGACGTACATAATCGAGGTTGTGATACCCGGCATGCTCAGGGTAACCCGCCTGGACGAGGATTGCGTTACTGTTACTCCCGGAAGAGGCCGAATACCGGGATGGATCCCGATGCTAAGAGAATTCGGGATGCCATAGCATCTGCAAATGCTGAGGATTCACAGGGTTGGTGATATATGGCTGGTCGCTGGTATTCCTGTCTTCCACCTCAAACTTGGCCTTACCCTTAACCTCGGTCTTCTTTCTAGCTTTCGGGGGCATGGTGTCGTTGTGCGGCGAGGGTTACTATGGTCGGAGTAGTGCTGTAGTCGGCTGGGGATTCAAGTAAAGAAGAGGTTTGGTAGAAAATGGAGGAAGAGGTTTGGTTGAAGAAGGAGGGGATGAGAAAAATTTCTTTTATATGCTAATTCCATCAATATCCACAGGAGAAAGACTTTCATCCAGATGGGAAAATCAGTTGTCCGAGAGATATCAGATGGCGTCTCGAGAAGATATCTCACTATCAAACTTGATGATCTTCTCCTTACTTCTTACTTTCAACCCGATCTGGTTGGTTGTACCGAGAGGTGTCTTACTAAAACCGATCAGCAATTCTTTTTGGGTTGGTCGTGTTCAGAGATCTAGAACGTTGGATATAAGGAAGATGACTGAGAGCGGAGCGCGAAGAACAACACAAACTGATACCAATGCCCACGGCTCACGCCCCTCGCATGCCTCCCAGCGACCGGCCACGGCATCTTCGGTTTCAATCGCTTGAGCGCCCCACGACAATACTGATGCCGTATTCGTTTCTTTATACTTGTGAAGAGTATCCCAACACTCTTTGTCCTTTACTGGTTGGTCCGGACATGGCTTGTCTATGCTAGGTTGATCCGCCGTAGGGTCGCTGTGTTGTTAACGGCAATGGCTCACTTGCTCCATTGCCCGATGCTGTTGGATTGGATGTTGCATGTTTTGCAGTGGATTTGGGCCGGTTCATTCGCCGCATGATACGCAAAGGCTTGAATGCAGTAGAGGCATGGTGAATGTTGCAGTTGGGGTTCGTGGATGGGTTGCTGGGCGGCGAGCTGGAAGCCCGAGGTCGACTTGCTCCATATCTCTATCTACAAATCGACGACGTGTTCCTTGCCCTGTCCAGTCTATGAGTCTAGGTACGCAACTATATCCCCAGTACGTCCTCTCAGTTCCAGATGTTGAAGTCGTCGTTGCCCTCCGGCAAGAGGTTCGAGGGTGAGGGCATGATCATCAAGACCACAACGGCACACTTGAGTATGTCGGATCAAGTCCGAAGATTATGGAGATTTGATCGGCGGTCATGATAACTGGAGTAGCAGCGAATGTCAATTTGAAAAGAACTGTTCATTGCTTGTTGTCGATACGGGAGTTGACACGGGGTTTCCCCGTCCACACACCCAGTAAGGGAAGTAGCATCTAGTACTATCCCCGTCAAGTTGGGAATGAGGCGGGTAAGAAAGGGCTGCAAACCTAGATATCCTTGAACGGTCTTGGTGGTCTTGCGGCGGTCTGCTGGCGATGGTGGGATCTTGGGGACACTCTATCTCAACTGCTTGAGCGAAAAATGGGGGCGTTTGATCTCGCCACGTATACTAAAAGTCGCGTTTCGTGTAAATCTGGGTCTTGGGGATTTGAGGCATATGTCTGATTGCCTTTTATCTGGATGGCGGGAATGGAACTGGGCAGTACCGGTACGGGATGTTGCTGAATGACGCGCATAGGAATTCCTGTAGTTCAGGAGAGGCTGATCAGATCAACAAGGACTTGTTGGCGACTGTTGATGGAGCGAGAGCGAATATTGGCGGTCATGTGCCTGGCAGTGTACGGGTTAGGATGTGAAATTACCGTTCCTTCCTTTTCAGGTTTGCGACTTTGGAAGGCACCCTTCACTGACGGTAACTTGTTGACCGCCTTGAGTTTTGCCTGGAAGCTTCCTTCACTTTCTCCTCGTCACCAAGGTTACCTACCTTTTCCTGCCACTTGATCGCGTCCGGAAATCTTTTGCACGCCTCTTTCTGTTCTCCTCACTACACCAATTTCCACCACTTCTTCAGCAAACCCAGCAGAATCGCCGAGACTCTTCATACCCTTCTCTATCAGCGCCTTCTGAGCTTTCAGTTTGCCGACGTCGCCCTTGTTCTTTGTCGCGTCCCTCTTGTCACCCAGCCTAGTATCGTCGTCGTCTTTGTGCGACGTCTTTTTTCCTTATAAATAAATATTGGATCTTTAAGGTACGGCAAGCATCTCTCGATGTCTATTTCACTGGCTTGTAACTCCCAAAACTTATAGAAGTCTATTATCCCCCGCCGTTAAAATGGAAGCCAACCCTCCTACCACTCCCCCCGGACCGTCGAAGAGAAAATCCCCCTCTTCTCACGAAACCAGTCTCCCTCAAGCTCGCAACCAAAAGCGTCAGAGGATAGTGGAGCGCGAGGAGCCCTCACATAAGCTGAGCGACCCTTCTCCACATCAGCACACCACGTCGCCAAAGAAAATCCTCGAGTCAGAGCACGAAGACGAGGAGTCGGAAGGTGAATCAATAGTGTCAGACCCGACGGACAACGAGTTCGAAGGTGCAACTGGCAATCAACCTCACATTGCCGACGATCTCGACCGCGCTATTCACAGAAACACTCGAAGACCAATTTTGGTTCCAGTCGAGCCCGAGCTGTCGACAAGCGACATCGACGACCTGCTCTCCAATTCAGAGTTTGACTTGGACAGTGGAGAGGAAGAATCCAACTCCACCACCAAAGGATCACCTTCGCGCAGAATAGCCGGTAGAAACGAGGAAGGATATTACGTGGCCATGTCTGGCCTTGAATATTACAACTCCCTTCCCGAGCCCGACCTCCGCCGCGAGGCTATTCGTTGGATGGAGGAGAACTCGCGTGCTGACCCGAAAGGGACTGTTGTGTATCCTCCTCCGTGGTACATTGCCACCCGCTTTGATCCACCTCGTCCCAGATTGTGGATCAAGGACTTCTTCTCGGGTAGAGTTCGCCCGCGTCAGCTGGTTAATGACCGGCTGGCCGAGATGACCGTCGCCCAGAGGGAGGAGTGGGCAAGGGAGCATGGGATGGGAGGATATGACGATGATGACACCGAGTAGGAGACGGAGAAGTGCCAGGGAGGAGCGATGAGCCTGGGAATGGTGAATCAGAGAGTGGTGAAGGGAGTCATGGGATAGTGAGAGAGAAAGGGGGTCCTAGAAGAGTTATCGCAACTGGTCTACGTCGCAAGGCTACTAGCTAATTTGTTTGACATTGTGATTGCTATGAAGCAAGGTCTTGATACCGTCCAATGTACAAGAAGAAGTACCGTTCTATTTCCTGTTGTAGTTCTTTTAGCCACGGAGCCTACCCTTCCAAGTTTCTCTTGTTTCTCTCTCAGCCCTCTCGAGGGCACACCATTCCTAGCAGATGGGACTTTCATATTCATCGTCAGTGTCGTGAGAAGACTTGCAAGCTTGAAACTTCACTCGAACAGCGTTGGCCATACGCGCAACATCTCAAAACTCGCAGATTTACTACCATCAACAACAACCAAGAAGTGAAGATAGAACCTTTCCATCGGTCGCCTCACCGAAATGTCACCAAATACCAAGTATCATGCAAAGGAAGTCTAAGTGGCTTGGCGTTTGGATTTGACACAGGATCACAAATACCAGAAGCTCCAAAAGTTGTCTAGGCGCTTCTTATTACCCGTCACCGGTTACATACGCTCCCTGCGGGTTCAGGTGGTCTAAAGCTTGCCACGATGCAGCATTTAACGGCATCCTTTGACGCACTCTGACGCATGGCACTCATTAGGTACAGCTGAGGTGGGGGAGGGATTCTTGCGGGCATCTGTTCGCAGCCATCAAGTTCTTGACTCTCAGATAATCCATGGTATGGAGGCTTTGAACAAAATAACAAAGCTAACAAAAGGTAAGCAGGATGACTATGTCATATCAAGCGACCAAGTCATCGGTGAAAGAGTCACATCTTGCTGTTTGACCAATTAGACTCACAACACTGTCATGACAGGGCAGGGATACCTTTCCGCCGTCGGCCTTTCCATAAGAACAACCACAACCCTAGCCAACTGGCAGGACAACCTGTTCTTTACATGCTATCAAATAACTAAGGTACGTACGTACATATTTTCTCCCTCCTGATCGCCCGTGTTTTCCCTTCATCAGCTCGAATCTCGAAACGCCAATACTAAGACTTGATAGCAGTTGCCAGTATCCAGAGACAGCGTTTCCAGCAATGTTCGATCTCCTGAAACATTATCGCAGCAACATGGGTTGTACCACCGGCATCTCGTCTTGCACAGGCCAGACAAAGCAGTCCATGAGGAGCCTCGTTGCATCTGATACGCCTGGTTCTTTCCAACCTAAGATGAATCAATATTTATTTCCAGCGCCGGTTCCTGCATTAAACCACCGCGTCATGGACAACATGATGAAGGAACTGGACATCTCTAGGACCACCAGGGACCCATATACATTTCTCAGAGTCTAGCGCCAAACCGCGATGGTGCACTGGCCCCTGGAGAACGATATTGAGCGGCTGATTCTTGAAAGGGCCTGAACGACGCTATCGCCATGTGCCAGAACATATCCACCGTCCCGTCAGCCACGCGATGATGAAAGCATATCCATCAACACTACCTAGGTACCAAGAGTTCCAGCTAAACATCAGAAGTTAGACAGACTCCAAGACACTTAACCAAAATTCTCATCGACACCTCATCCAACCCATCTGACGTTGTTCTTTTGTCTCTTGTCCAGATGAAAACCCAGATGGACAACGGAGCAAACCATCCGAAGTGAACCGGAAACCCACGCAATCCCGGGCATGCAAGCTGGTTCAGTCAACGGCTCTTTCAGTTCACACTACTTTGTCAGCGTCAAGGAAGCACTGTCCCTTCCATTCCTTCCCCAAGAATCATATTCTGGCCATGTCGTCGGAGATGATTTTTTGCGTCATACCCGAGATGGTATCAAAGTCTGTCAAGAGTTGTTCGTCGTCCTCAAGGAGGAAGGAGCAGACGAACTCGATGAGGACGATCAAAAGTGCGTTCGTCCGCGGTCTCTGTCGTCGTTCCTTTCTTGCTCTCCAGTCACTATCGCGACTGTGAAGAGTAGGAAAAGCGAACGACAACAATGGCAGCACCGACCAACGACGACGCTCTGAATGGCACCTCCGATGAATTCGTCGATGAACTGAGTACCCAGCTCTGGGCCCTCGTCAATGTCGCGTCCACCAGAAGGTGGATCAATCCACGTTTTCAACAGCTCCTCCCGTTCCTCGCCATTATCACCGGTCTCCTCGCAAGCCTAAAGTTCTCCTTCTGCCCCAGCCTTGAAGACATTTTCGGGTCTTTCGTTCCTGGCTCATCTACCTACGCTTGGCTAAAGATCTAGCCAAACGAGATATCTTCTACAACAGATTTGGACTACGGCAAAGATAGTGTCGTTCTCTAGTCATTGGGATTGGAATACAATTTCAAGGTATTGCAAAGTACAAATGCTTCCTATGAATACCTGCCTTCTTCCAAGTGGTAGCTTTTGTACCTCATTTCCTGCTTAGGCTAAGGAAGTTCCTCTTAGTACCCCTTTTCTGCACTGTTGCTTTTCCTCTTTTTCGGACAAAACACCTTATGTCTGACAAGTGAAGGTCTGAAGGACAAGACGAAAGATTATGGGATCGTTGGACTATAAGCACCATTCCCTAGCCAGGTAACTTTGGACGTGCTGTGGGCTCGTTGCCGGACCAGTTGCCAGGTGAAAATACCACGTCCCGCACGCGGAAACCGCCCCACTGCGGGACACTTGAAAACACCATTCACTTGTATCTACAGCCTGACCGCCCGAGTTTTGTTTGCCTCGGTGGTCTTGGACTCCATGCCCTAAGAGCTACCCACGGAAATTGACTACCCAGCCCGCTCCCTCGCGTCTTTTCTTACCCATCGCAATCCACACTCGACATTGAAGTTTTCCCGTTAAAACAACACATTCACAAGCAGTCAGCCTACCAAGCTCTTGTAATTTCAACAGCAACCCTTCTACCTCGCCGTTGTTTATTTGAAGTCAACCGACCCGTCACTATATCACAGACTTTCTTGCTTTTGACATCCTACTTCCTGCTTAACAACCACTACCCTCCTCTCAACAACAAGTGTATGACAGCCCATCTTCTCCTTCTGTTACTTCTATATATCTGACAACTGAAGTGTCAGCAATTTTCTCGATCATCATGTCCTACCAACCTACCACCAACGTCGCTTCCGGACTTGAAGGACAGCTCGGCTCAGACAAGATCACCGATCACGTCTCGTCCCCAGCTGGACAGCTCCCCGGCGAGTCCTCCACACTGGTTTCACAACCTAGTGTCTGCAACCCTGAGCTCCCAAACACTCGGGAACAACGGAACCATGATCGCGACAACGAGCTCGAGAACACACAGATACCTCTGAACAGCGCAAGTTACGACGCTGACGACGAACATGTGTCAAACCCTCCCGATTCGTCAAGCCCACCGTTTACTGCGGAAGACGTCGACCAGGATGTACAAGAGCCCATCGGTAACCGAGCCGACGTCCCCCAAACCACCGAGGAGACTCTGCGCAGCCAGGCGATAGCCTGGATGGAGGCAGTCTACCATGATGCACCCAACGGAACGGCGATCGCCCCTCCAACTTGGTATGCCTCCTCTCACAGTACCCCTTCGCGCCCGCGCGTTTGGATCAAAGACTTTTTCACGGGACATGTCCGTCCTCGCAGGCTGGTTAATGACCGCCTTGCGGAGATGTCCCTCGTGGAAAGGGAGAGGTGGGAAAACCGCCAGAGGAGGATGAGGGGCGAGCCGGCGGAGTGAGCTAGCTTGGTTTGTGCTTGGCGTTAGGGAGAGGTATGGAAGATGTGATAGCTACAGGATACTGTGGGAATGGCGGACTGGGTAGTCCGGTGATCGCATTCCAAACAGTCATGGATGTGAGGTCCAGTTGAGCTTCAAAGGGTTAAGGCCTTACAAGCGTTTCAAACCTATACATACCTATCCCTTTTGTTTCTGATGATTGGTATATAAGTCAAGCTCCTAAGTAGTGGTAGGTTTTGTTTGGAAGCGATTTCCAACTTCTTGATGCCCGCCTCGCGGGCGTAGATCGGCCCGTGTTCTTGCTTGCTTCCAGTTCTTTCTCAACTTGTATCGTTTTCCTTACCTCCACACAACCAAACTCTTCTTTCCTATTCAAGACAACTTGAACGTATAGAATACACACTTGAGCCTTCGTGATCTTTAGAGGTATATATATATCAGACCATTGCAACATATCCGTTTTACTACCAGCATGTCCAACCAGCCCATCACCTGGCCGCTTCAGACGCCCAGTATCTACCTATTCAACCCAAGCGATGACCTACTCTGTCTGCTTGGTAACCATACAACCACATCCGTCATCCAGATCTCCCAAGCATCCCGCTGGATCAAAGACTTTTTAACGGGACATATCCGCCCCCGCAGGCTTGTGGCATGCCCTTCCTGCGTCGTTTGGCCGAGTCGCAATCCCCGCATTTCTCTTTCAGTGGGTTCCTTGTCGTAGTAGAGGTAGGAGGAGATGTTCCTTTTGCGCAGCAGGGGGAAGAGAATATAAGTGTTGAGTGAAAATTGCAAACTTGAGCCGAGAGCCAAGGGAAACGTAGAGGTAACGTAAAAACTAGGATGCAAGGAATAAGACGATTTGTGTCCATTCGGAGGATTGATTTAAGGCTGGGGAAGTTGAAGTTCGGTGATAGCGAGGAATCACGGTAGTGATGAACTTGAGAAAAAGGGGTGGGAGTGTGAGGTTAAGGCAGGGTAGGTACGAAGTCTAGTCTACAGGGGAGATGGCAACAACTCAGCTCGTGTTGGTGATGCCCTCGTGCTTGATATCTCTAGAGGTAGATATTTGTTAGAAAGAATTGGGCACGGGTTTGGTTCAAGTTGTATCTGTGGTAGGTATCTAGTAGGGGCAGGATTGAAGCGAAAGGTGCATGTTACCGTGTGCCAAGCGAGACATTTTGGACTTCAAGTTATATGCTGTGGACAGTAAAAAGTAGTGGCGGGAGAGCTATACACAGGAGTTGCGGAGAGAGAACATTGGGGTTGAGCATGTTTGGAAAAAGTGGCAGCATTGCATGTATCATGATAACAGACAACGGACGGTCTGAAGGGATTAGGAGTAGCCAAGGTACTATGGCAGCATGTCACAGGAAAACTTGTCACGTTCATCTTATCTCTGGAGGTGTCTGAAGAGATGAACCGTTCTATTGATGCGAGGGCTTGTTGTGTGAACGTATCTCGACTTGAAAATTAAAGTGTGGTTTGCTTGAAGTTTGAATACTAAGTTACAAGCTTCGTTTGTTGAGCCCAAAGCTTGAATAGGTACAGATAAGTCCATCATCAGATAACCCCTAACAGCATGAATTTGTCGACCCCCTGTCTGTCACCATGTCATGGCCTTACCTTCCTTCCTTCACATCCTCCCTTTCCTTATTCTCCTCATCTTCCCCCCTCTTTTCCCTCGAGAAGTCGTCGACTGGGTTGAGGATAGAGGTCAAGGAATTCTTTCCCCCCTCCTTAGCAGAAGCAACAATGGCGGGTTTCTTCTTTTCCTTTTCCGCAATATTCTCTCCCTCCTTTGCTGATGCCTTGAGGTTTTTTTCTGTTTCTCCGGCGAATCGAACAGACTTCCCCTTCAGCGAAGAATCCTCCGTTTTTCCCTCCGCTTTCTTCGAAGGTCCTCCATCTTTACCACTCGGGGGCGTGAACATGATTCTAGGCATAGGAAACCCATGCACCCATGGCACTTCGTCCCCCGCCTTGAAGGCACGTACGCTGTGTTCGAAAAAACCATAACCCATGTGCAGATCAGATACGTCGTATACATGTACGCAAGGACGATTCGCAGGCGCGATGTTAGTCGGTCTAGGCTCAGGCATGCTAGTCTCCGCTGGCTGGAAATGTACATGTGTCATCCCCATCTCAAGGTACTTGTTAGGGTCGAGTTGCGTCATAGTCCAATGGTTATGAGGGTCGAGTTCATGTTGATGTAGAGCTTCGGGTGGAGGGGATACACGGCCGAATCTTGAAGGTATACGGCCGTCTTTGCACCACGCGGGGTTGGGATTGTAATACGCGAGTGCCCCCGAATGATAAGTACGCCTCGGTCCTCGCTTGGGGTGAGGAGAAATACACGCGGGGTCCCATCCGAAAGGAAGGCGGCGGTCGGTAGAGGCTTCCGATGAGGATGTCTTGTCGCTGGATTCATCGGGTTTGCTGCGAATTTGAATAGAGTCGGGCTTGACAGGACTGTTGGGAACAGGCTGCGATGGGTGTTCCGTCTGCTTGGCTTCGTCAGCCATGGTTGTGGCAGAGTGTTCTTGCGTCATGGTGTCTCTTTCGTGTGGAATGGAATTGGGCTTGTTTCCGTTCTTGATGATTGCCATGTGATTGGTTGTCTTTTGCATCTTGACTGGAGAAGAAAGTGTGGTGGAAGGAAATTTGGAGGAAGAAAGTTTGGTGGGTGCTTGCCCTTTTATAATGGAAAGTCCAGAAGAAAAGTGGACAATGACGCGCTCGACGCTTCTCCGAAAAGTTCGGTATGTCCGACGTCCAAGTTTCTCGGCTTGTACTTGAAATGTGTCCCAAAAAAAAAGTTGAACCCTCAACCGCAGGAATTGCTACCTCTACAAACTGCAGCATCAAGTTTACGCAAGTTCATCCGACATTGTGCATGCATATATGCCACAAGAAACCAGTACAGTTAGCGGACGACGCGGAACGGCGGGGTTCAGAAATATCAGAGCCGGTAGGAGCCTACAGGTAATGGCCTTGATGGTGTTGGGAATCGGACCGGAGAACATGTCGCGATTTCCCACTTGTCTTCCACTCTCTCACAGACAGACCATAAATGCCTGTATGTATAATGTTTCAGTCTGAATCATCAAGCCTGCCGCATGTCGAGTTATTCACGTATCCTACTTTGTGCGTTTCGATTCTACCGAGGACAGGTGTACGAGTGTCCGAGTAGTAGAGGGAGTCTGGGCCTGGCAGGCGACGACTGGAGTGGGACACAAATTTTGAGTTTCTGACTTGTAATTCAGCCTCCTAGATTTTTCCGCAGAATTCGATGTCTACCTACTTCTTGCCACCAATCAATCACGAAAGTGTCCAACGCTTGGTGACTACTATACTACCTGTTCTTTGTTGAAGAGGTAAGGATCGTAAGGGGCTTTGTTTTCACGATCCTCGGTGGTCCCGTACAAATGAGGAGTTATGGAACTAACATAGGCATAGTGTTAAGGGATCATGTCAGTCTTGTTTACGCAAAGTCACTGTGCAATCTCGTGTGTTCTACAGCTAAAGTCATGTATTTTGTTAAATTCGTACAGATTCACGCTTATTTCTTTTTTGTTTCAGCCTCTGTTTACCATATTTCATATGTTTCTACTCATACTTCCCACGACCGAAATAGATGCCTACCTCTAGGTCTCTTCCTGCCTTCTTCTCGTCGTATTTCGTCCATCTCATCTCGACGGGCATCAAACTGCTACAGCCTGAGTTTGGATCTCTTCCACTTAACTTGCAACGCCGGCCAGCGATCCTTCCTGCTCGTCGCTGATTGTGCAGTAACAAAACACAATCATCTGGAATGCTCGGTGCTACATGCGTCCCCCTTCACCTTTTGGTTTTGTATCCGTAGCTGTGTGCTGTCTCGTCGGCGTGTAGTATGGTTATCAGCGCCGTTGGCAGCACGTGATGCCCTTGGTTGTGCCGGTGCCGTGACTCCAGCTACTCTACCATATCCCAATCCTTCTCCGTAAAATCATCCAAGTCCATTCCTTCTTCTGCCGTATGGTTGACGCCGCCGAAACAATGGCGTGCATGTTGGTGTCGTCGACAGTGCACGCGACATCTTTGTCGTCTTCTGCGGGGAGGAAGATAATCCGGCAAGGTAGCAAGCCATGCCACGATTAGTAGCGCTGAGTAAGTATCATAACAAACCGGCGTAGATGTACTCGGAGTTGCGGGCCTTGGAATGTCCTCTGAAGAGTCCGGGTGGGTGTTAGGCGACTCTGCCGTTTGGTGAGGCTCCTCAGAAGCGATGTTTAGGTTTCCGTCGGCTTCGTTTGGGTTTGAGCGAGGCTCCGTTGGGATGGGGTGATGAAAGAGAACATCGATGTCGCTTTGGTCCATGCTGGGCAGAGCTGGCGGGATGGGTATGGTGGTTGATGGTTGTGGTTGTGCCATTACGAAGCGCATATTGTGTTGGTTCACTATTGTGATTCTGTTGGCTATGGTGATGGCAAAAGTGATGAGAGATAGAAGATTGGATTTTGTGAACAAGACATGGTATCTAAACCTTTAAAAATCAAGCACTTGCTTGGGGAAAGATACAGGAAATCTGACCTCCACCCCTCAACGGATGAGTTGGAGATTGGATATGGTATGATGCAGCGCAGCTTACCTGGAAACTTCCATCCCAGATTTCCTTGCCCGAACTGCATGTCCTCATGTGCACATGTGCGTCATGTCTGCAGAAGCCACAATGGTCAACTAAAAAAAAAAAAAAAAAAAAAAAAAAGGAAGAAACGAAGACGAAGAAGAACAAGAAGAAGAAAAAAAACTGAAGAGGTAAAGAAGCGGTTCTAAAGTGTTCATTGCTCTTCTGACTGATGAGTTCAAGAAGATTGTAATTATAAGGGAAAATTTAGGTGTAGAGGTATCTTCGGTTTACAACTGCTAAATCCTTCTTTTCCATCGCGGTCCATTCGTCGCCCATCGCCCAGCCAAATTGCCAACAACAAAACTGCAGCTGACAGGCAAATACTGATACGCGACCCTACACCCAAGCATCCAATACCTGGCATACCATACGGAAAATCTCTAACGCGGCGCCTCTCCGTCCCGTCTTCCTTCCGCTCGGCACTGAACGACATTCCGCTTTTGCTTGACCTCACGACCACCGTCCTCTCCAGCTTCGAGTTACCAGAGTCGGCATTCGAGTGCCATCGAGTCTTGCGTGCTACATTCGATCCAACCTGCCGCTATGGCTTCCTTTTACAGACTTCAACTGCTAAAAAAACATGACGGCTCTTCTTACAAAACCTTCCCGGCCCGCGATGCGGATAGCGAAAACCACTTGTGCGCTCCTCCATGTCCTAAACCACCACTCCCCAGACTGTTCCAGCCCTTCCCTCCGCTCTTCAAACTCTGTGACCTCCTCCTCCAGTCCCCTCCAGTAGTCACCCCCCTCCCCATCCCCCTCTCAACCCCCTCCCCAACCCCCCTCCGCATACCCCCTCACCACCCTCACCAACCGCGGCGTATCCTCATTCATCAACACCCACAACCGCCACTCCGCCTCGCGCAACATCCGCCGTTCGTTCTGCGTGTGCCACGCAACCCACCACAGCCTTGCCTCTTCCGTCAACGGCGCCACTGTCCACAAGAGGTGGGAATTAACTTGCAGCCATCTGGTGTCGTGGATGTGTTGGGCGCGGACAACCAAAGCGTGGGCTTGGAGGACATGGTGTAGGTGGCGGAGCCAGGTGGTGCAGAGGCGGCGGAAGAGGGGGTCTTGAGCGGGGGGAGGGTGCTGGTTGCTCTGGGGGTGATTGAGGTTGGGGATGGGGATGGGGTTGGGATGAGGGTGATGGTTGTGCTGCTGGGGGTGGTGTTGGGGTTGCTGATGGTGATGGTTTATAACCGGGGATCCATCTCCGGAACTGGCTCGCGGAGGGGGTGATGTTTCTCGCGTCCCTGCGCTGTTGTTCGAGATGGAGTCGGAGTTGGTGAACCCCGGTGTTGTGGCCACCGATGAGGTGGTGGAGGAGGAGGAGGAGCGGGAGGAGGAGGATGCAAAGGAGTTTGGTGGCACGTTGTGGTTCCGGTACCAGGCATCGGAATCCTCTTCACTGATGTCTGTGTTGCCGCTGGTGCCGTTCATGGTGGTGGCGTCTACAGCGGTGCCGGCCGTGTTCGATGCCCTGTTTTGCTCAACGGTCAGATTCTCACTGGTCCACAAGAGGTGTGCTTTTGTGTGATAGTTTCCATCACTTACCCCTGGACTTGGTCCTCTGGTTCCTCAGAGGCGCGTTGTGACATGGCGTTGGACATGACGGGGGAATTTTCTTCGGGTCAGTAGAAAGTTTTGGTTGACCGTGGAGGATGTAAGCGGAGATGGTATCTTGGTAATGTCGCGCTTCTTGTGGAAAGTAAGAAGTGATGGAATTCCTTGGGTTCGTTGGTCAACTTGTTGTTCGTGGTAAACACAGAATGGACTGGAGTCTGGAGATGAACTTCTGATGTTAGACCTTGTCTGGCAAGAAAAGAAGTGGAAAGCAACTGAATTGGGAACGAGAGCCCCGGTACTTTATAATGTTTTCCCAGGCGTAGTTTCCTGTTTGACGCCTTCCTCGAATATTGGTAGTCCTCGGACGTCCTGAATATTGGGTAGTTGCAGGCCGCAAGAGGCCATATTCAATATGACTGGTAGCGTTCAGAAAAGAATTCGGCCTGCCCTGTCGCGCATGAATATCTCGGACATATTTGGACTTGCATTGAATATACCTATGTGCAGTGCCAGGTTGTATGCACGTAACTGCTCGAAAAAGGAATTTGATGCCACGAGTTTCTTTGGTTTGGAAGGTGCTGTGATCGACGTCAGTGTCAGAACGATTGAGGTACACCTGTTTCGTTCTTCTTCCCCTTTTTACCTCTTTTGGCTGTTGTTGTTCTTACCTGATTTCTCTTCCTGCGACACCGCAAGCATTGTATCGAGCCGTCGAGCTGGTCTCATACTCCCGCTCATATTTCGAACCACAGGTAGGTATGTTTTTCGCTTACTCTTCTGCTCTCTACTTCCCCGTCCCTGCAACATTTTCCAGCACAACAGTGATAGTCAGCAAGATGCCAAACTCAACAGTCCTCTTGATCCCAGCTGCCATACTTTGGTGCCTTATGAGCATCATCCGGTTTTGGTCCAGATCGGAACAGATATGGATTACCATGCACGGTGAAATTTCGATTACCAATCTTCCTAAGGCAACTAGCAAAACTCGACGTTCACTGAGACGATGTCGTGCCTTTGGCGCCGAAGGATGCACGGTTGGTCCAAGCCTGACTTCTGACCTGAACTCTTGAAGACCCTCGGAATTCCGATGTGTTTTCCTCATGCCGTCTGTCTCTACCTCTATGCTGCCCGACAAGTGCAATTTCTGTAGCTCGCAATTCCCAGACAATGTTGAAAATATACATGGTATTTTGGCGCCTATGGTCCGACAGGAAAATATTGCACCATCGTTCCATCTGAAGAAAATACTGCTGGAAATCTGTCACTTGAGATATTCCATCACGTCTTCCACTTCGGATCAAATTTCTCATCTCATTATTACATGAGTATAGCTTCAGCACAGCCCGACGATTGTCTTTTCTGTTGGACAGTTTCCCTGTTGAGTAGGACAATTTTTTCGTTTTTCTTGGTCCTGATACCGTCGCGTCCGCAGAGGACGGCGGTTACGAACCACGGAAACCGAAACGGAGCATCCACCGACGCGACAGGACGTTCCGGACGGGAACGGATCGAAAAGGAGACTCACGAAGAGTTCAAGAAAAGGCAAGCAGGGTGGATGAAACAGAATCGGAAGCAGAGGGAGAAGGAAACTCCGGACGAGAAGAAGAAGGAAAGGCTGGAAAAGGCGGTAAAAATACCACAAGGTGTATTGGCAGAGGCAGAAAAGTCAGGACATAGGCAGGGATGAACGGATACACGGACATCATCCGGCGTACAGCGTCGGCCAAGCTCTCAGGGGTACCTCTACGGATAAGGGCCACAACGTTGTCCTAGAACGTTTGGACACTGTCGTGCACTACGGGAGGGAAGTCGAACATGCGGCCGCAGATTTTTCAGTTTTCCACCAAGCCAGTTCGCGTTTTCGAAGCAGCCAGATTACCTTGATGGCGGTTCTTGGACCTCTCTTCGTGCTGACATGGTAGCTGAAAATTATCTGAATTAAAACGAAGGGAGGGCTCTAGTGCGGACCCCGACTTGGGCGCTCACGCGGAGGAGGAGCTCCGGGCCGCCAGCGCCTTACAGACCAGGTCGGTCACCCATCCAGTCGAAGTGTCAAGCACAGACTAGCAAGATTCGTTCTCGTCGGACGCACCTGTGACGGATTCCTCGCAACTATCTTATCCTGCTCCGCAGCACGCTTCTTGGGGGCGGCGGTAGTCTTGTTGGGAGTCTTGGCGGCGGGCTTAGTAACAGTTGTGTGTTCACCCGGCTCGACGAGTTGATAGATCTTTTTTTCGTTCAATTTAGGTCATTCGTTACAACAAGCAGGTTGATGCGATGAGGACAAACACACGGTAGCTTCAAAGCTCACACAATCCATAGACTAATACCGCCACATGTACAAAGCCAAGATGATCGGGACGATCATTAGGTATCTGAAGGGGGGCATTGTGAAGCGACGAACCACGCCAGTCAGGATGACTGACAGGCGCGCGGGCACATTCTTAGCATACCAGACCGGACCTGGGCATAGAACCTCGCTTATCGGGCGTCCCGCTGGAAGAAAACGCCAAAACAACAACAATAACATTACAGATGATCTTGATCCTTCTTGGTCGCACGTCTTACAGCGGCGGTCCGGTCGTGACCTTTGGCGCCGGAGGTGGTCACACGATAAAATGGTCTATGGTGTACTGTCACGTCGTATTGTGGCGTGTTCAATTCATTGTAGGTGGTTGATCCAGGCGGGATTCTGATGGTGTGAGCGGTAGGGATCGGATACATCGGACATCATTTCGGTCGGACATCACAGGGCGACGGCACCGTAGATTGGATACGCCAAAAGATTTAATGTTGTTGCGGGTACTACGAGTAGCTTTATATTAGAACTGAGTTGAAGAGGAGTGGAACTTGAGGAGAGAGACACCGAGCCTTGACGGTTCTCAATAGACTCTCGGCGAGGCATGGTGTAGAGGAACGAAGAGAAAGAAAAATGTCGAACCAATTTCGGAATCGGGAGTCCAGCTGCTATAGCCGGCTCCCATTATCCCGACTGATCGTAATGAATACAACAAATCCAATCCCCTTGACCTTTGACAACTCGGACACGCTTGTTTCCAATCAGAGTTCTGGATATTTCTCCCGGTTCGTGGGCATAGGCACCGAATCCAAGGAGTGGGTTAGCCGTTCAAGCAAACTACGTAACAGTTTCTCACCGTGAGTACTGAGGCCATACGCTACCACGCACCTTCCAGCATCCAACTTTCTCACTGGGCATGCCCTGTGACGGAAATCCCTTGTTCTATGCAGTAGGAAGCTGGCCTGGCAGGATGGCACCCACTATCTTACACCGTGGCTCTCATCTAATACAGTAATAATCGTGGCAGCGACATTGGAAGAAAGGAGACATGTGCTTATCTTTCCTTGTGAGTATCGTCCCACATCCTTCAATTCTACCAGCCTGTTTGACCACGGCGGTTATTCCTCCTGCCTTCTCGAGACTGAGAAGCTGTGGTCACCGGGAGGCTCTTGTTGTGTGCGGCGGTTGGTCAATGGCAGGTGTACTCTTTGCTCGTTCGGCATTCTGGAATACAATCCAGATCAGTTATCGAAGTGGGCAGGTTCTTTCGTCTCAGCCTGTGTTTGGCCGTCTTGGACATCAGATATTCGCACCTTCGTGACAGGGGGCTGACGACGGAACCCGAGGTACGGCTGCCTGGGTGGGGGAGCTTGTGTCGGTGTCGGTGGCAAGGAAAGGAAGAGGTCCCGGATGCCCATCAGCTGATATCGTCGCGTGACGGGAGAGCTTTTTCGGAATTGACATTGATACTCGGCGGTCGCGAGAGGCAGGTTCGGTTGTTGTTGTTGACAAGGGCAAGTTCAAACGAGCAAGGTTCTGCCTGTTGCCTTGAGGACCTCTGATGTCGGCACCGACGGGACCGTGGCGCGTCGAGTCGATTTTCAAGATGCGAAGGAAAAGGAATCGCGGTGATTCGAGGGTGGAAAGGTCAAGGGAAGGTGCTTGGGTTCTGTTGAGTCTGTAGTTGCTTTCAGCTGTAGTACCGTAGCATCATAGGAGGACCAGGGCAGGCGTGAGGACAGAAGATACTTTACCATCTTTTTGAGGTTCCCCTCATCCGGCAGTCACTCATCGCAGTCGGTCGTGTCTGGTGGAAAAGAAAGAAGAGACAAGTCCCGCAGTGTAGACGAGACAGGAACGAAGCACTGAGGGCACTGAGGGGAGGTGACAGGAAGTGGGGCTTGCAAGTGCAAGTCAAGAAGTGGGACTGCCTCTTTCGTCAGTGTAATGGCATGTGATTGGCTGCAGTTTGGCTCTCAAGGTACTTGGGTACTTTGGTGCTGCCCTTAGGTACTGCCTCGGAGACGGCGCTCGCTTGCTCCCGTCCTCTGGTACCGTGAGAGGAACTTTCCCGTCTGTGTTGGAGGGGCTGCTGCCTGCCCTAGATGTACTCAACTTGAACAACAACCACCACCCGTCCATGCCTTGCCCTCTCTTACCCGACCCCCAACATGATGCTCCTACCGCGACAGCCAACATCTTGTCGTCAGGATGTTGTCAACAAGGAAAGGCGATACAAGGTGATTCCACACGGCCTCCTGGAGTGATTGGGATCTCTCGACTGGTATAAGATGCCCCAGTCCCCCTCACTTCTCTCACCTCTCTCTCTCGCTCGACAAACCAACACTCTCTACATATCTTTTCCAACATCTCATCACTTATCTTGTATCTTTCGGCATCTCGATATATTCTTCCACCTTTTTGTCCCTTTTTTTTTTCTTTTTTGTCTTTCGCCTTTCTTGCTTGTCTCCATCAGCGAAATCCAATTTCAGCTCGCGTCTTCGTCAAGCCAGCTTCGTTGGCCACGTTCAACATGGGCCCAGTGTTTCTCCTGGAGCAAATGCGTTTCCCTTTCCTGGTGAGTCGACTCAACGTCCACTCTTGACCATTTCATTTGCACCCGACGCTAACATGGAACGTCAGTGCAAGAGAACTTCGAATCAACTGTGCGGCCTTCATGCGGTACCACCAATGTCATGCGCCTCGGCCCGGCCTCTGAGCGCAACCACCTCTTCTTCGACTTTTTCGATGGTACCAGGGGCCACCACACTGCCTTTGACAATCGGCACAGTCGCCTGGGTGACATTGAGTCACGAAAGGACGTGTACAAGTGGGACATCCTTGGTTGAAGCCTCCAAGCTGGCACGTGTAAGTACATTCTCTAGTTTCCAAGGATACGGATACAAGAGACTACAAACATGGCCACGATACTAACAGAGAGGCAGACACTGTGTCATTCCAAATTCGAAAAAGCAGCCCAACTTGCCCTGATCTACCAGCAAGTCAAACCTCCACAGGTCCTCATTGACTCCACCGAACCTTCGGGTGCTTCTCTCCCTCTTCAAACGCGACATCCCACCTTGGGTGGTCTGGAGGCGAAATTGCCGGCGTGGCAGAATGGCATCAGTGCTCCCAATTCTCAGCAGAAACAAGCGGCGCCGCCGCAATCAGTGCAGTCCCATGCTGACCAATTGTTTCCATCGACTTTGAGCGCGCTGATCGTAGCTTGTGGCTCTCTGCGTACAAAAATCTCTCCAAAGTCGGCATCAATCAGGTTGGAGTCCTTGTGTTCGGCTTTTGTCCCGCCCGGGGGCACCCTCCTCGAGAGAAAGCAGAGTCGTTGCTGACAAGGCCCGTCGAGCCTTGTACCCCTGAATCTCCACGAAACCCAAGAATCATTTCGGTGGCGGCTCTGTACCCCCCCATTACCCAATATCCCTTTCTCGTGGCTGTTGGTCCTGCCGGCTTTCTTCTGGTAAAAGATTCAGGTCGCCCGAGGTCGTCCTTGTTTTTCCTCCCGCCATGTTCTCTGGGCTGGTCAATTCGGTTTCTCCAATTCCCCCCCACGGTCCCGCCCTTGAACATGAGGGTTACGAGAAGAGGACCAGGGTTGAAGAGGCCAGCTAAGAGCAGAACCGCCTATTCCTCCTCCTTGCGAGGAGCCGCCGGAGGTAGATCGGACCAAGTAAGCTTTCCTGTTCTCCTCTTTCACGTGTCAACCTCCATGGCTAATGCGTCGGCTCCCAGGATCACTATTGGCTACATTTGGCATCACCCTGGGACCGAGTTCCTACGCCCTCGGTCTACGCGCCTCTCTACGGCGCCTCACGGGATCACAATTAAAGATTCATACCTACGATGTACTTGACACGCCAGGTCATCCGCAAGATGGAAACAAAAATAACACAGCGATAACCAATTGCGATATCACATGTATGGCTTTTTATTCTCACAGATTTTTCAAAGTCCATCGCAACACAACGGACTCGTGCTCTTACCGACTTCCAATGCCGCAGCGGATTCAACATTGCTCGTTGAAACACCGCATGATCGGAACTCTTGCTCCTGTTATCCTTGGCAAGAAGTCCCCTATTGCTGATCAGGTCGAATACTTCTTGGTTCGGTACGTTTTCCCGGATTTCACCAACCCGCAAGGCTTCCTCAGAGCCCGTGCGTGCGACACTATCGAAAAGTTCGGGCAGCTCGACTTTAAGGACCAGCAGAACCTCCTCGCTGTCTACCGTCACATCCTCAATTGTGTGGCCGATCCCAAGTTGCCCGTCCGTGTAACTGCTGCTTTGGCCCTACAGCCTATGATCAGACATGAGATCATTCGAACCAGAATGCAACAGAACATCCCGACCGTTATGCAGCATTACCACGACGACTTGCCCTCCTGAGATGTCAATCTCTCAGAGTGCGGTAATGTTGACGCAGAATGATCGATATGATAGAGGTACGCGACGGCTGGAATCAGTCCGGGGGAAGGGGAAAGGCGGGTGCTCTCCTGATCTGGGACACTCCTGCTATTTATACTACGACAATTGGAAGAAGGAGCGCGTCCTGCGATCCTTTGAGGCCGTGATTCAAAAATTCCCACTACCCGGTCGCATGTTTGAAGAGTAGCGGAGAAGGAGACCAAGAGAACCTGGCATGGTAAGAATGTCCGAGGTGAGTTCAGCGCCACGACTACCTCTCTACCTTTTACCACACTCTTGGGTTTCCGTCATTTTGCTGACATCCATGATTCCAGCCCGGACATTTGAGAGAAGATCAGTTTTCTCCACGAGCCTTTCCGAGAAGCCGCAGGGTTTGGCACTGCCAGAGATGGTCGCCATGGCAAGATTCGACGCTTTGTCCCAGGACACTGGGGATGCCTGGGATTTTGCAGACGACTACCACGACCAAATCATGTTGGTCTGGGTTTCCGGTTTCTGCACTGCCCGTCTACGACCAAATCATGTTGGTCTGGGTTTCCGGGTTCTGCACTGCCCGTCTACGACCAAATCATGTTGGTCTGGCTGTGCTCGCCGTTTAGACCATGCGGTTAGTTCTCTTCACATCAGCCACCTTCACTCTGCGTCGGCATCCGCAAACACACCTTCCTTGAGCAACCAACACCTGTCTCGTCCTACCCTTCTTGGGTGCTACCTCCAGTTTACATCATATGGGAGTCGCCTCCTCCTGAAGGGCAACCGTCCATGTACACAGCGGGAATGCTATTCCAGTGGGACTTGCCCACCTTTATCCGAACCGCCAGACCAAGTTCAACCTCGGGCATCTCATATGGGACTGGTCACTGGGCAGGGTCGCTTTGCCTCGCGCATCGCGATTTTGGGACGACCTCTGCTGATTTTCTCCTCAAACTCGAAGTCACACACAACCACACTCGACCGACATGTGTCATCAGAAACAATGATCTTCGCATGCCACTGCCCGTTGAGGAATCACCGGTGTTGCCCTCGTTTCCAAAATCTCGTCGCCCGCTACTCTCGACGACATAGAAACAAGGCAACTCCGAGAACAACCCACCAGAATACATGACCGTCTACGACCACCGGTTTGCCATTGCTACGGCTCTGGATGCTGATCGAAACTTATCTTTGCTCTTGTAGCAATTTCGAAGAAAGTATGTCGACATAATCCCCCAGATCGAAGTCCGAGGGATTGCCTTGCAGTGAAAATTTGGGGAGATCTCCAACATTCAACTACTAGAAGCATCTTGGAAGATGATCATGTCTTTGTGTGGATCAGCATCCTGATCACCACTACCAACTTCAGCTCCAGAGATGCTGGCGTTCTCATCGGCTGCGATGGAATCCATGGGAGTGGGCGGGCCACGGGTACGAGACGAGGTCTTCTGTTACTTTCCCAAATATGAACCACAATACAGGAGAGAAGCTCACACGGCTGAGGAGACGACCACCATACGCTCCCCCTAATCATACTAGGGCGACCAGACTATGCAGATTTCAAACACTTTGTCCACACTTTCCTCGGACTGGTCGCGTATGACGAGTCTGATGAGGGCCAGGACGTGTACCACGTGGCTTAAGTCGCGTACCTACACCCATCACTTCGAGCCCCTTGTAGCGTCATGCCGCTACCATGCCGGTATGAACAACACCCCCCCTCCCTGTCTCTTGCATAAGAAGCCCTGGGTGGCTTAAGAACGTGAACGCTGACCTAAGGCTTCCTAGTAATGCAGTTTGATCCTGACGCTCCGTATTAGAAGACCAAGCCTCCTGGTGTCAAAGAAGACCGAGCGATTAGCCGGAAAGTGTATAAACCCGGATACTCTTTTCCTTGTTGCAATAAGTCCGGAACGTACGACAAGCTCGGGTGCAGATTAGGTCCACATAGAGCTGCTGATGGGGTGCAGGAAAAGGACCTTGATGGCTGGAAAGGCTACAACGATTTTCAAGATGCTGTGGGTGCACCAAAGAAATAGTGAGAACAAGAAGGACGGCGAGGCCAACAACGGTCAGCGAAGGAATAAAGGGCAATGGAACGGAAGTGGCGTGACAAGGTCCAATAGGCTGCGGGAACATGTCTCCATTTTTCAACCTTCCTTACCTTAGATGGATAAGCCTTACCAGGTTGTTATAAAGGTACGAAAGGGGTTATTGTATCGTGATAGATTCAGTTAGTAGATTAGATTTCACAAAGACGATGACAGCGTTTTGGCACATGTAAGACTTTGGCATGCGAATGTGAATACAGTCATGATGTGGATGTGGATAACGTGATGAAAACTTGATTTCTTAGCAACAGTGAATGCTCCAGACAGCGGAAGTAGGGTCTTGGATTCTGTTGACAGTCTGTTTCCCTAGGTGAAGCTATTTTGGGGAGTATGGCATGGTGCATTACTAGGGTACTCATTGGATTAGGTGGCGGTCCCCCGCGAGAGTCGGTGTTTGAGACGTAAGGTTTTGTGCTGATACTTGGAAGGAGTTGATGCTGGGTAGATGTGGTATATAGGTCCGAGGTGATAATCAAGTTTGAGATTATCTTTTAGTGCCTCTGATAAAGACAGCGTCGTAAAGATGAGTGTTACAGCGAGAACTTGTGTCGTGTGATGGGTGGTCAACTACAAGACATGGCATGAATGGGGTATTGGGGTTGGGTTGCGGGTTGCGTGCTTGCTTGTCAACTCACACGCTTCAATGTAGGCATATTTTGTTGTTGAAGTGACCACGTACGGACCAGTGATTGCGCACGGGGGTGAGATCTATTTACTGGGACTTTTCCTTGTCTCTACTACTGCTATACAGTCATGTCGTGGGTGGTTGTCTCGATCCTTAAATACCTCTTGAAACTTGATATATGACGGGTCCTTTCGTCTATTGGGAAGCGGAGGGGTTGCAGAGATTGATGTAGCTTTTTGCTACATCCTAGAGGTAGATGTCGGCCTTTGGGCCTTTGGGCCTTTGGCAGCATGTCTCTGACTCCCTGTGCGAGTGGTGATTCGGTAGTAGATATTGTCGTTCGTCTATCATCTATCCGTCTGTCCCTTTGTTTGTGAAATTTGCGGACGTTTGTTTGGACGTTCAACTTCAAGTCGAAAAAGGTGAAGGCGTATATAGTGAAGAAAAGAAAAAAAAAAAAAAGAAAAAAAAAGAGAGAGGAACCAAGAGATTGTGTTGATTGTGTTATGTGCATACTTGTTACTGTCGTGTCTTACGGATACAGACTACCTACCTAGAGGTTAGAAGCATTTTTTTCATGATGATGATGAGGATAAACAAGAACAGTTGGAGAAGATGTTATCAAGTGTTTATATGTTTCGCTTCCCTTCCGTGGATGGTCTGGAGGACAACCAGTTCGATAATGGAGGTATTTAAACAAATCTTGGGCATTTCTTTTGTAATACTTGTTTATTTATGGTTTTCATTAACCCCCCTCACTGTGTTGTTTTGTATTTATTGTCGGGCGGATGGTATCGATCGTCACTACGTGATGGAATCATAGGGGAGTCCATCTTCAGGAGGTTCGGGCACGGATGTGGTTTGAGCATGGGCATTTGACTTGGTGTGGTGTCAATGTTATGGAGGCCTAGATCTAGGTAGGGTAGATTCTACAGTCATGATGATGGTCCATCAATCTTCATTGACAGTATGTACGATAGATAGCCTGCTCCTCCCGAGGTTTCAGGATTGCAAAGATCTGGCATGTGAGATTGAGCGGAACGCAGTCACCCATATCAACAGTCGAGCGATGCCGCGGGACACTGTGACGGTCGCATGATGAGTTTGAGAACCAGTCTTGAAAGATTTTGGCAAAAAGATAAGACAAAAAAGTAATGGAGTGAACGAAAGGAGTGAACGAAAGAAAGAAAAAAAAAACATACAACACCAGGGATTCGCTGGTCGTCACCGACCCAACTACTAGTCTGGCCCTCACTGGCTTATCTATGGGAGAGCGGACGGGATCCCGAGTTTTCCAGTGGGTATGGTCGTATGTGCTTGATTTGTCTGTGTCAAGAGCTTATAAAACCTAGCATGCGACTCAAAGACTGACACCTCGTTTTATCTCAAGGTTGGCTGAGAAATAACATGACCCGTTGAGAAGGATGGGATACAGAGACACATGATGAAAGCGGCGTATGCATAAGCTCAAAATGGAAGTATGAGACTGCAAGCAACCCGCTTGACCTCTTTCCTATCATCACCAACACGTACGACGGGCACTGGCTCGCTTCCACAAGCGAGAACACTCACGAGGTTAACGTTGACGTCGTTCGAGAGTCTAGAACATCAGACGCTGACTGGACTGGACCCAGAAGTGAGGCCGATGGTACCCATCACTTTGTCCTCACGTGCTTGGACTTTGTTCCCGCGGATATGGTACGATGAGGTCACAGCAGTCCTGAGGTGGTTCTCCTTCCCTGTTGTTTACTGTATGAGAACAATGAGATATGACACAAGGGTCCAGGAATTAATGGAGGGTATCTGAGTCAATGCTGGGTGATGTGGACGTCGGGGAGAGGCTGGACCTCGAGGTGGGTGACATAGATAGGGTCCATATGAGACCTGTTTAGAAGGCCCGCTTGGTCTTCTGGAAGGAAAAAGGGTTTTTGTCTTCCGATCCAGAAGATGAGAAAGTGGGTGTGGATGGGTGGGCATTTCGGCTGTTTCTAATGTTCGCGCCGTTGGATAGAGTTGTGGAAGTGGAAGAGGGTGTGTAAGGTGACGGGCGGCTGGTAAAATGCATGTGGGGGATGTCCACGAGATTTAAGGTCAGGGGGAGGGATGGGTTGAGGGGTGCTACGACGAGGTGGAATTAGATCAACACATGGGGATAATTTCAAGGAGACTTGTGTCTTTGGCCAAGAACAATTTGAAAAGAATGAAAGAAAAAGAATAAAGAAAAAATCCCCGTACCTTCAAGTACCCATGACGGCACACCGTCAGAGAAGAAAACGGTCGAACATGTACCGTGAGCCTCTCGATTTCGTGAGGCGACCACTTGCGGTAGTATCCGTTCGTGAGTTCCTGACGCACCCCAAGTCCAAATAATATTATCGGCAATGCAATGCAGCGCCGTGTAGCCCAAGGATGGATCTTGGCGTGAGCGATTCTCGACTTATCGATTGTCGATTTATGATGTGTTGCCTGGAATGCGATACACTGTTCGAGAAGCGAGGAATATCGTGCCTGTCAATCGATCGTTTGTGGTCGAGTGGAAGGAATTTGATACAGAGAACTGAGAAAGAGGAAAGAAGTCAGCAGTGAATTGGAGGGGCGTGCATCTGCATTCTCCCTCCTCCGTCCTCCTTCCTCAACAATTCCGCTATGTGAGGTACGCGGAGGCGCACTTTGGCCGTTTAATTGCGATTGGATGGCCATATTTCGATATTCACTCAAAAAAACCCTTTTTCCTTTTTCTTTTTTCTTTTTTCCCCTTCTCCAACTTGCCGAGTCAACGACACAAGAACCAGACCACACCTCACCTTTGCGCCAAATACCATCCAATCCTGGATAATCTCGCAATCACATGGCCTTGCTTCGCCGTCTTGTTGATGCCACCGTCCCGTCCCTCCTTTGGCAGCCAGGGCAGCTTATCTGGCGCGACCCATCCCACCATCGTCGGCCTCCATGATGGTGTGGAGAGGAGGGGCTGCCCAGTACCACCACCCGCTCATGGCTACAACCCTCACTGCGTTCCAGCCGGACACGCAACCGTTGGAAATGCTTGAAATGGTGGTCATCTGGCCTTGCAAACCGCCGAAGCCATGATTGCCAACTCATCAATTTCCATCACCGGTGAGTCCCTCGCGTCCCCTCCCGCATACAGATACAAGCGACCCGGACAATAACCCCGGATCCAGCAGGTGCTTGCAAACAGCCCATTACGGCGGAGGCTGACCGATACCTCCTACACTCTAGCCTACGAGCTGCTCTCCCGAACCGACAGCCTTCCGAACGGCGCAGCGATTTCCTCTGCCGGTGCGATTGTGCAAATCCCAGAATTATTCCACATCAAGCGAACCTCCATCAATCATACCTCGTCCCCGCTCACCCGCGCCGCATCCTTTTCCTTACCGCACCCGGTTTACCGCCGGTTCAAGCGCAGCGTGACTCTTTGATCGGGCGACGTCCAAGGCAGGGTAACGACAGCTTTCCGGCTGGGCTTCTCAGAACACCTGCAGACACACTGAACGAAACGTCAAGCAGTGACGATAGCGGACAGCTGGAAAACTGGGGAGTCATCCGACAGATAACATGCGCCGTCCTCCGTGGTTGGGCCCCAACAACCTAAGCCGGCCGCGGGAATGGCCCATTCGACCGACCATCCTTCCCCTTTCCACCTTCTCTGTCCACCATGCTCGCAGTTCGCATATTCGGGTTGCGACATTGTTAGTAAGTGTGACCAGCAAGCCTCGTGGCATTCGATTGGTACAGATTGCGCCGTCATCTCACCACCATCCGCTGCAAGTTGGCAACGCCACGCAGATGCAGTCACTTGTACATTTCGAGCCTCGATGGAAACACCATGGAGATCCGATTCGAGCGCCAGGGTCAGGTCTTCTGTGTGGCGCATGCCGTACGATCCCCCCGCGACGCCTTCATCACATTGTGATAATGTTCAGATACGAGACGGGTGTGTGATTCCGGGGTAACAAGCTTTCTCACCCGGTGCTGGTCGTGCTTGGTGAGCTTGACCGATACAAGTGGGGTATTGTGCCCGCATCACGATGCTCTTGCTCATGAGTCTGCATTTCGGTGACTCTCAGTTGACATGTGGTGGATACTGGGTCGCGCACTCAGAGCAGCTGGAGGTCATTCGCGATGTTGTGACCATGATGTTGCAGGTTGGCGTATTTCGAGCGGCCATCCGTAACATCGGCGAAACATCGAGGCATGTACAGGAACTTGTCCAAGGTATTGCGACAAGACCGTTCTCGCCCAGTCAAGTCGACTGTTCTAGTAGATGCATCACCATTCGAATAGTTTGATACCAGCAGGAGGCTCATCCGGGCCTGGCAAGATGCGAGGTGCTTTTTGTTGATCAAACGCACGTTGAAGACGTGGGGGTGAATGTTCCCTGCCGTAACCGATGCATGATGATTGTCCTAACCGGGGAAATGTCCCTTAAAGCCATGATCCTTTGCTATCCACACCTTTGCAGGATTCAGGCCCATTATTCTGACGCGTTATCGTACATTCGGGCCTTTGGCAACACCACTGATATTGTCTTAGCGTCGATGTAAAAGGACGACATCGAGATCGAGGAGCTGTGAGTCGCAAGCTTTGAGCATCAACTCTAGAATTCCAGAAGAGGTTCGTTGGGAGAATCCATGGGCGCGAGTCGGACCGCAAGCACAGAAGAGCGGTTAAATGGATGTAACGCGGCCGCCCACGTGGACGACCAGGAACTAATACTGCAGTGTTTTGATGTTTGAGGCTTGTTGGAATGCCGCCGTGACAGCCTAGAAGATTGGAACGGTCTTCAAATGTTGGATGTAAACAAACCAAAAACATCGGCCACACCTTGGCAATGGACAGGAAAGGGGCTCACCGTGGAAGTTGGTCTGTGCGTTCAAGGTGAGCTCGTGAAAGCGCCAAGCCTGCCCCACCTTTCGTTGAAATTGCAACTCTACACACATGGTTCTGTTACGTTCAAAGAGCAGCTTGACACTGCAAAAGTCGTGGAAGGGCAAAAGTTGTCGCCACTAGTGGTCCGAGCGTCTCCAGCGGCGAATGCATCTCCATTCGGCTTCATCCAATTTGGTGCATGATTGATTATGATTCATAATCACTACACGCTCCATAGCTCTTTCCAACAACCGCCGTCGGTCATTCAGATCCTGCCTTTACAAATTGTAATAAAACGTCGATTGGCACAGGTCATTCTTTGTCAAATACACGAACCTTTCATTCCTTTCACCATTCTTCAAACGCAAAACGCAGGCGTGCCAGTATCAAAGTCTTTCGCCCATCCATCCTCCCTCATCTTCAACATACACACACTTTCAAGCTTGGACACCTCTCCCTAAGTGAAAAAAAAAGATGATCCCCATCCGCCCAAAACCCAACGGCAACAACCCCGACGGCAGCAGCAGCAGCAGCAGCAGCAGCAGCAACAGCACCTCCCCACCACCCCGCCGCGACAAACAAGCCGTCCACACCCCCTCCCCCTCCCGCATCACCAGCAAACCCGTTCCCGAGCGCCAACTCCGCTCCCCGCGCGAATACCAAATCGACCAACTCAGGCGCCGTTTCAGCCCCTTAAAAGAAACCATCGACCCTTCCACAGGCGGGGAGACCTCCCTGCTTTTTTCTCTCAAGCCCTCTGACCCGGATTTTCCCTATGACTTGGAGAAGCTTGAATGCGATTTACGGATTCCCGGGGAGTATCCCCGGCAGCCGGCGAGGTTGTTGGTGAGGAATAAGGATATTCCGCGGGGGTTTGCGGTGAATATTGAACGGGGGTGGGATCGGTTGGTGGAGGAGAGAAAGGGGAATAAGGGGGTGACAACGTTGTTGAGTGTTTTGAATGCTTTGGATCGAGGGCTGGAAGGGTTTTTGGCAGAAGAGAAGAAGGAGACGGTCAAGATTACGGTGTTTAAGGATTCGAGGCATTTGGAAGGTCAACCGAGTGGGGTTGTAGGGGAGAGGGGGATGGAAGGGGTGTTGAAGGAGAAGGAGAAGGAGAAGGAGAAGGAGAAGCCGAGGCCGTATATCCCGCTGGAGAACTTTACCAGGGATCAGATTGCGGAAGCCAAGGCAAGAAGAGCGCAGGAGGTGCGTCAGCTCGAGGCTAGGATGAGTGGACTGCCGCTTTATCACAAGTCGAGCGACGGGGTGATTTATACGTTGCCGATGGATCCAAAGAGGAGGAGCAGTTTGCCGACGGGGTTGCAGAGCGTGCATTCGGTGCAGCTGGTTATTCCGTTGTTGTATCCGCTGCAGCCGCTGAGGGTGTTGTTGAATGATGTGGATGCTGACGAGGCTGAGGCGGTGGAGGAGCTGTTCACGCAGAAGGCGATGGAACAGAAGCAGATGAGTTTGACGAGCCACTTGAATTACTTGGCGACGAATATGCATGCTTTGGCGAAGCAGGCGGCGCAGGAGAAGCAGAAGGCTATTCAGGCTGCTGCTGCTGCTGCTGCTGCAGAGGAGCAAGGGAAGAACAAGGCGGCGGATCAAGAGGCCAAGGAAGCAGAACATGTTGCTTCAGCGGTTGATGGAAAAAGGGGACACGTACATGTCATTCCCAGACCCTTGGAGTGGACGCTCGTCAACGCCGATGGTTCCTCCGAATCAGAATCCGAGACTGATTCCGACGACAACTACGAGTTGGTTGACGGTAAAGGCGGAAACACCTCCGGCGTAACACCCGGCACCGCCCTCCCCGCCGCCACCGCCGAGCGCGGCACCGCCATCTCCTTCCCCTCCATAGAGCTACACGGCATCGAGCTCCTCCAAGTAACCCTCCTCTCGCTCTCCGTCAAATGCACCCGGTGCAAAACCCTCAACGACGTGACCTCGCTCAAATCCAACATCGAAAAGCTTGTCTCATGCAAGAAATGCGCCACATCCTTCACCGTCCGCTTCCGCGCCGAGCTCGTCCACGCCCACTCCACCCGCGCCGGCTTCATCGATCTCTCCGGCTGCACCATATCCGACATGCTCCCTTCCTCGTTCATCCCCACCTGCGGTCGGTGCTCCACCCCTTACCCATCCCCCGGCTTCGTTTCGGTGAGAGGCGAATCAACCACCAACGTCTGCCGCGAATGCCACGCCCGCTTCACCTTTAAACTCCCCGACGTCAAGTTCCTCACCTACTCTTCTTCCCAATCCCACCTCCCGCCCACCCAGGGCCCCAAGCGCAAAGACCAAAAACTCGGTCTGCACGCCGGCGACCCCCTCCCCGCCAAGGGCGCCTGCGCGCACTATAAGCGGTCTTATCGATGGTTCAGGTTCAGCTGCTGCAACAAGGTGTATCCGTGCGACAAGTGTCATCAGCAAGCGGAGGATCATGTGGACGAGTGGGCGAATCGGATGATTTGCGGGTGGTGTTCGCGGGAGCAGAATTATCGGGTGGAGAACTGTGCGTTTTGTGGACGGAGCGTGGTGAGGAAGAGGACGGGCGGGTTTTGGGAGGGCGGGAAGGGGACGAGGGATAAGGTGTTGATGAGGAGGGGGGATAGGAGGAAGTATAGGAATAAGAAGGATGGGAATAAGAGTAATAAGGAGAAGTAGGTTAGGAGTTGGTGAGTGAGGGGAGGGGACTGGGAGGCTGTAAGGAGGTGGATGTTGTGGATTAAAAGATAATAGGGAGAGGGGGGGTGGTTCTTTGATGTTATTTCGCATTGAAATCATTAGCATGGAATTGCCTGGCATGTTCATGGTGTTGGTAGTGGTATCAAAACGGTGTTCATCTTTGTTATTATTCCCTTCCTCGAGGTAGGTATCTTGAAGGTGCGTTGGAAGAATAGTTTTGCTACCATCAATGGCTTACATGGTAACCCACCCAGGCCGTCGATATGCTGCAGGAACAGCTCAGTGACTCCATGTTAACTCCATGCAAGGCACGATAGATACGCTCGGAATCTCCAACGGTCTGGTAGGTAGTTCCAGAGGCAAATGCTTCTACACTACATGATGCGATACAATGCACGCACAGACCAAAACCCAGAAGTTTGACCGACCGCATGGCCCCTTTACAGTAAAGTATGCCAGGCAGGCAGGCGATGTTGACGACATCCTGCTGCGCCGGCTGCTGGGGCGCTTCGTTGACATATGATGCAGTTGTACATATAGTCATTAGGTAGGTAGGTAGATGCGATTGACAACAGCACAAAGCTACCTACTAGGTAGTAGCAAACAAAAGTCATTGTAGACGCAATCGATCGTAATTCTAGACCGGTCGGTCTCTTCTCTTCTAGGTATCTCTCGTTGAAGAAGATTTTCTGTTAATGTTCCTGCCGGGCCGGGCTTTTTGCGATGGTTTGTGCCCCTCTCCTCCCTTCCTTTCCTTTTTTTTCTTTTTTTTTTTTTTTTTTTTTTTTTTTTTTTTTTTTTTTTTCCCTTTTTTGCCTTCATGTCTATTACTAAATTTGAGACAAACGCAGCAGGCAAGAAGAAACTTGAACCTCAACAAGATCCTATTTTTACCTACATATGTACAGTAGGATCACCACCTATCTGATCATGGCGGGTTCAGTCACTGCCAAAGGGGAAAACATCAACGACGTCAGAAGAAGGGGAGGTTGGGAAACTTTTGGTGGTGGCCCAGTTCCGGTTACTTGTCTTGTCTGATCTGGTCTGGTCTTGTCAAGAATAAACTTTGGCGCGGCTCTTTTTCTTGTCTTGGTTCCTTGAAATATGGGTGTCCATCGTTCTCGAATGTCGACAAAAAAAACTGCGGGGTAAGTGCACTAAAACGCGGAGATGATGGCTCACCCGAGACAGAATTCCACTTTTTGCGCGTCCAAGGTTAAGGGATCATGGTACCTATTGTAACATAGAGGCTCAATTCTCAAGTTCCAGGAGCTCGGTTGCTCGGTAGTAGTGTAGTTTATGTTTGTGGTAGGTAGGGTTTAATGGAGGTGTCGAGGATGGATGGGTGCGTGGACACGGGGCCGGCGACCCGTGATGGAGGGGCAGCTGGTGGCCGGGCGGATGCCCACGGGACTGCTTTGATGTCGTCAGTTGTCTGGGGCCGATCTTGATGGGGTCGTCCGGAAGGAGCTTTGCTCGTGAACTTTGACTATTTGGTGAGGCAGGATTTCCAAGTAGCGCGCGACGATGAAAGGTCAATTGTTTCTGGTTGTTGTCAGGCGGGAAGGCTAGTGGGAGGAGCCTGGAAGGTTTGAAGTAGTGTAGGTAGGTAAGGAGCGCTGAAAAGCTACAGAAAACTGTTTTGTTGGCACGGCTCAGGAACGCTGTGGATCGAATTACTTGTAGGGCCTAGCAAAACCATTTTAGGTACCCAACTCCGCATCGAGATGGTTGACGTCTGAAGGAGAAAATGACATCAAAAAGAACAATCAGGGGACCCAATTCCGCACATCCGCTGGCTTGGGGAATGATGTACATGGGTGACAACCAACGACACTATCTCCATCTACCTTTTCTCATTTTATTCCACTTCTTGATTTTATCTGATTTTATCTTTTTGCCATTATTTCCCCAACGACCCTCATCGTCAACGTTCCCAGCAGCGTTTCCTGTCCCCACAACAGCCAACAACCCTGGGGCTTCCATTCCAGGTCCATCCCATGGCGCTGGACAGACCCACCCCAGATGACCAGTGACGTATTATACTTGTACTGTACACCATCCCATCCCCAAACCACCAAAAAACCGGAGATTGGTTTGGCTGTGACAACAAACGAACGAACCGAGAAGGAAATCTCCAACGAGCACCGCCAACATGCCTCCTGTTCGTACGCCGGAGGTTCATCCGAGTGACACCGAAATGAGCATCGGGCATCTTACCAGACCCCTTGTTCGGCCCCCTTCCAGCGTCCCTAGGTAATTCGCGCCTGCATGGAGCTGAGCGCGGCCGCTTCACGATCCCCAATGTCCTCCAAATTAAAATGCAGTCGTCACACGAGATCCTTCCAGAACGTCTATGGAAGCTGACTGAGCTTTCTCTCGGACAGGCAGGCCGCCGTTGACATACATGTCGCCACTACCGTCTACCGGCCGGTGCAATCTCGCCTTGGGGTATTCGGCCCGTCGATTCCTTCTGGTATGTTCTGGTGCACTGATCTATGATTTCATGTCCCTGAAATTAGCCCAGCCATCAATTGGGCGGAATACTTGCTATGTAGTGTACTGTGTAGTGTGGAAAAGACACCGTCATCTTCCCCGGATTTTCATCCAGGTTTGTCCGCACTGACCTCCTCCACCGGTGATGTCTGGAGGGGGCAACAACACCAAACGGTTCATCGCACATCTTCCTCAGAAAAAAAAAACAACGCTACAATAACGGACGGACAAAAGTTTTTCACGGGGTTGGTATCTCTAACTAACGCCAGCATGTTTCATTGTCTGTCATGTACACAGCGGTCCCTGACAGTTGGCATTGTGGGCCGGAGCCGTGTTCCCGTCCTTTGCCCGGCATGTTTCTCGTGTAATATCTTTATTTTCGGGAATCTGGGGTATTCTTCCTTGGCGTACACCGCTTTTGGCCTGTTGTATATGATTCTGTTCCGTTCATGACAGGTCGGTCTGTCTTCGTGTCTCACCCAAGCGAGCCAAGTCACATGCGTCGGTACCTTACATACGACCAGGATGAAAGCGACGGGAACATCGATGGTACTACGTAATGCACAAGAATAGCTTTACCTTGTTTCCCTTTGCCTGTTCACCTGGAGTGTAGTACTACTGCAGCACAATATGTGAGCAGCTTCATACCTATATATCACAGTATGTACACAATTGACGCCATTAAGCGCGCTTTGTGGGGATGGATGGATGGATGGTTGAGAGGGTTCCACCAAGGAATCTGGGGGGGACATCGGCGACGACACATCATTCTGAGACATTTTTGCCAAGGCGAGAGGAGGCTAGTTATTCAAAGGTTTTTTCTCGATCTTGCACTCGACGTCAGATTTCCACAATCTGTACGTATGGTTTGCCATCGTGCTAAAAATGGTTCATCTCCAGAACGACGATCTCTTGCCCGTTTGAATGCAAACTGTTTCTGTAAAGGGTGTACACTACCAGGACACCGAAAGAGATGCAGCACGTGCTGAAAATGGTAGATCACTTCCGTCCTTTTGGACAAGAAGAGCCAAACATAGGGAGGTTATGTCTCATGTATCTGCTGGGAACGGTAATTGAAGTAATGGCTGTGTTCTTGTAGCATGGTCTGGGGATGTTGATCCAAGCAATTGCCATTTTCGTTTGGAACCGCTGACAACCGTTTTCTACTATGACAACAGGACCACTGTGGTACAAGCAGGCATCTTCAACAGTGTCAGGTAAGAAACAAACCCATCGCACGATCACTGCACTTGCTCTCCGTTTCGGCTCTCCGCCTTCCCTTTTCCAACTTTTAAGCCCACCACAAAAGGGATGAGATCAATATCACAGCCTCGGTCCTAACTCACATGCCAGTTTTGCTTTTCTTGTTCTTTTTTTTTTTTTTTTTTTTTCCTTAATCGTCCCGGAAGCAGCCTCCTTGTACATAGCCGTTCCGGCCCCGGCTGGGGATTGGATGGATGCCGGGGGGCAGGTATCAAACAAACCCCCATATTTCCTCCCCGGACCCTCAGCGGGCGTCAGCGCCTCAAACCGCCCCGGAAACCAGGGGTTTCAGTTCCCCGGCTCCCCGGAATTCTTGGCTTGAATGAGCTGGCAGGGCATCCCAGCCCGATTTTGGTGGTCAACTGACAACTTGTCAGGGGATATGCCAAATTGCGAATATCTTGAGACCAAACATCGCGATTGCATACGTAGGTACTGTATTCGGCCATGGAAAAACTGTCAAGTTTTCATATGGGATTAGGTCAATGTGTCTTTCGACCAAGAACTGTTGGTGTGAACAGCAACATTTTCAAAATCGGGCATTGGAATATATGCCAAAGAAACGGCGAGTCTTAAACACCACGGGCACGTCGATATTGACTTTAAGACAGGGCGGAACAAAACCAGGGGTTATAAGTTAAGGAAAAGCAAAAACATCTCCCATGACAGCTTGAGGCTTGCAGCCAGTACCTGTCAAATGTCCAGTATAATATACTATCTCTTTTCTTCTTCTTCCGTTGTTAATTTCCATTTCCATTTCCTTTTTTTCTCCTTTTATCTATAACGAATCTACTGGTCTTTTTTTTCCTCTCGTCCAATCACAAAATTCACATGGTATTTTCGCATTTATTCCTCTCATTTCCGTTTCCATTTGCCTTTAATTCCATTTCCAGTTTACAACATTTCCCTACGATTGATGTTTCTATATCCCATAACCACCACCCTCAAGCCACCACACCCATTCCTGTCCCCCACCACACCACCGGACGGACATCTTCTTAGTACCACCCAATGCCACCGCGCCTCAGCTCCGTTTTTCCCAAAAATCATTTGACGTTTCCCCTTTTTCCTACCAACGATCGTCGATTCCCATCTCCCGGGCAAGGTACCTAGTTCCGTATCCTCCCCAACTTACAAGCCATTAATTCCCTCCACCATTACAAACCCCCGTCAGCCCTGCGTGAACAGCTTGACCAAACAAACTCCAGTGCGTAGTGAGCTAAGCTATCCGTAAGCCGCGCAGGCTTTACTGTAAGGCTCATCACCTCACTGCTACTACTACCTACCTACCCATCCATTACATACTACCTGCATTGCCAGACACCTTTCATCACACCAGGAACGGGACAAACAAGCGCGACACATGTATTTACCCCCACGCTATACCAGAAGCATACATACCCTGAAGTAAAGCAGTTCAATATTGAACAACTCAGCGAATATAAGACATTGACACAGCTTTAGACTTATTTCCGCAACCAGCCTATCATTCAACCAGGGTCCGAAGTCGTGTGCACATTGTGAGCATCACGAGAACAACAGCTCCTAAAAAGGAAACAACGGAAAAAAAAAAAAAAAAAAAAAAAAAAAAAAAAGAGGTCTTTGGGTTCGCAGCTAGGGCAGCCTGATGACCGAAATGACTTGGATCAACGGCATCGGTTTTCATAACCTCTACGGTAATCGTTTTCCTACGCAGTCAAGAACTGTCGGTCGGTGCGTTAGGATACACTAGTATACTTACCTAGATACGCTGCTAGGGACAGAATACGAGAAACTACCTAGGTACCTAGTCTAGTCTGCTGTTCACATTAAACTTTGCTGGTGTTGATGTCATGTGAGCCTTTGTTGTTACAGACGGCTGGAGTTGCGAAAAGCGCCTTTTGTAGTGTTTTTTCTATTCGCACAGGGTCTGGTCATCGAGGTCATTGGATTGATCGTCAACACCGATGCTTGTGACCTATGCCTCATTGTAGACATTGATCTCCCTGTTTTTTGCCAAGTAGGTTCTTAAGAACAAGTCTCCAGTCAAGCTCCGCATATGTCGATGTTCTTTTCAGGCACATCGTAGCTCATAAGTCGATGTCACAGACAGCTTGGGTAATTCCACGCGATAGCAGCAGCAAACCTAAGTGATTTCCGAATCGCTCTCTGTTGGGAATGCTTCGACTAGGTAGGTACCTACCGAGGAGAAGATGACAATGGGATGAGTCTTTCTCGGGCTTCTACCACTACATGGCTGCTAGATCAAATGGGAGCCGAATCTTAGTTACCTTACGCGGCCACTGATAGAAGTTGATGTAATCCTGTCGAGATGTAAACGGGACTTGTGTACAACCAGTGTAGGTTCCGATCCAAGGCATTGTTTGCCGGATTTATAGGTACCTAGGTGCGAAGTAATCTCCGAACAAATTGCGCGAGAAAAAAAGGTGTATCTCACAGCTCGGACAGGCAATGTGAGTATAGTTCCGGAATCTAATTCGGGATACTTAAACCCGGCCCCCCGAGCCCCAACGGCGTCTCCCGGCGTCCAACCGGCGCTTAGGTACGGCCCCCAACGCCGTGGAACCGTACTCCACCTCCGACCTCCACCGATCCAGGCCTGGGGTAATCACCGATGGGCTTTGGAAGCCGGCAATCGGACAGATCATCGGCCCGGACACCCAACCCAACCCAATAAGGGATCTAGACATTGAGGTACATGTACCAAACTGCCATCCAGTCTGGCACTGACGATCCGGCCAGCGATAAGCGAAAAGGAAGCGCAGTCTGTCTGGCACACATACCTCTATCGAACTGCGCCTGAGAAGACGCGGACGATTTTATCAGCGCATGTTGTAGTAAAGGGTTACTAAGATTGGGTAGTAAATTGACAATTCGAGATGGGTAGATGTTGATACTGGGGCGGGAGTGTCACCCGGTTACATGAGGGGAAGAGCCATTGGTGCTCGTAATGTACCTACCTAACCAGATGGCAAGATACAACGCTCTTGTATTTTCTCATTCTTTGCAGTGGCCTTGCAACAGGATAACGGACCGGCAAATGTAGAAGGAATGCATATACAGATCCGGTAGGGACAGTTGGCTGCGGGGGTCATCTTGACTAGGTAGTACTACTCCTCCTTATTATCCCGTCTCCCGTTACCGTTGACTATCATTCCGTTCTGTCGTGATATGAGAGTGAACGTATAAAGAAGCAAATTTGACGAAAAGTGGAAAAAGGAGAAGAATGGATGTCATTCGTGGAGGGGATAAATCGTAGCTTACCTAGGTACACGCTCATAAAGCTTATACGTACAGGCGCCGGGGAAATTCGTTTCAGTTCATACCTACCTAGAGCCATTACATACCTCCGTCCGAGGGATGCGCGTAAAGGTTTATCCAGGTGGGATATAATGAGGCAGACTGCGAAACCCATTCAGAAAGATACTGACTGATTTATGGTATTAATCATAAACGGAATCGAGAAAAAGGGTTGCTAGCTGCTCTTTTTCTTCTTCTTTTTTTCCGTCTTTTTTTTTTTTTTTTTTTTTTTTTTTTTTTTTTTTTTTTTTTTTTTTTTTTTTTTTTCCCTACGCGGACTTCAGCCTGCAAACCGTTTCTCGTCAAGACACACAGGGGCACAACTCACATTTCCCCATTCCATATTAGGAGTCCAGCTCCCAACATTCTCAATCCCCCCTCCTTCCGTGACACGTACCCGAGAGCGGCTTAGTATCATATCAAGTTACAGAAAAAAATGACAGCGCGAAAAGCTAAAGAGCAGGGAAAAGGGTCTAGATGCCAGCGATTTTGAGACATTGGGAGAGGGGGATTGAGGGGTCGCTATGAGTTTTAGCGAATGGCAGAAGTTATGATGAGGCTGTGGTTGGTCCCCAGTTGGTGTTTTGGACGTTTTTGGTGATAGAGGGGTAATGTGAAGGCCAATGGTAACAAGCTGTCACTTTTGCGGAACTAACTATCATGTGTCTCGCTGGGTTCCTGGATGGTAGCGAAGCGGAATAAAGGGAATTACTTGCAGCTTCTGACTTGGAATCCACGAATACGTTATCTGTTATTGCAGAAGCAGTTTCCATCCGACGTTTCTTGGTACCTGCGGTTCCTGGCTGAAAGTGGGAGAACGACCCGGGAGGTCTCGTGACATTGCAAACCCAACCTGAGGGCAGTTGGTGCGCAATCCAAGACGGCCATTTTGCGCTTGGCTGGCTCTCTGATTCCGATTGTGGAATGAGAGTGTACCCGGCGCATCAATGTCGATGCAACAAGGAGAGTTGGTTGAAATCAGTCTGATTAGATATTTGGACAATAACCGTCAAAGCGTATAGCGTAGAGAAATGGCAAGGCTATCTCGACATGCTGTCAGCCACAAGTGCACAACATGCGACTCGACAATACCAGGGCTACCAATGATGAACGGGAAACAGTAGTCACAAACCGGCGGCTTCGGGAATGGGTATTGTAGCCGCGGTGAGCTGTATCTGTCGCCTGGTGTGAACGGAGGGCTGACGGGGGTGGTGGTGCCCTGATGTTCAGACGAACAAAAAATGCGAAGAAAAGGGTGAAATAAAAATAGGAATAAAGATAAATGATTTTTCTGTGATTTGATTTCCAAGTGAAATATTCCCCGTTTTACGCCATGGAAATTGTCCAAACCGGCGCTATCTCGCAGGCCTGTGCCTTGAATTGACCGTTAACAGCTCATCAGACGTGAGGTTCGGTGTCGTCCGGTTGGATCGTAGGTGCCCGCAGTGCATTAGCCTCCCGTGGCTACTGCCAAGCTAGCGCTGTCCAGCGCTATGCGACCTGCGCGACAGCGACACCAATAGCGATGAGCCCCGCATGGAAAGGATAGAAACAGAGGAACCTGTCACGGCACCATATGACATAGTCCCGTCCCTCTCGGCGTTCCGCCACCGCAACCCAACCGTCCTTTAATCAACTCTATCGAATCTCTACTTAATTCATATATATAATCTAGGAGCAGAATTTTCACTACTCTCTTCTAATCTTCTCCTCTTCGTACAATATTACGTCTTCTCCAAATCCTTCCTAATTAGTATTATAATAGTATATTACACCTTTTCTACTAAGTTAATAGCCCGATAACCTCCTTATTGTTTCGCTTCGACTTACTTTAAAATCGGTACTAACCTCTCTTAGTCCCCTAATCCTAACCCTATTACGCTATATATACAACCTAGTTATATTTCGCTAAAATTCCCCCTTAGAAAACGTTCTAAACTGATAACCTTACTTTTACTACTACGTTCTATTACTGTTATACTACGTACCCTAATTATCTATAATACTTTACCTCCTTTTCCTTACGTAATGTACTATTAATATTCTATTACCAAAACCCCTACGCTAAACTATAAATAATTCTACGAATTTATTAAGTACGCCTACCCCCGGCTCTAATATTATATTTACTTACAAAATTACTATTCGAACTCTCTTCCGTCCGGATACCCTCTCCTTTATTTATAAAATAATTAAAAGTTTATAGGAGGACTTCTCTAATTTCGCTTCCGCTTTAGAAATAAACCCTAATATCCTTACTTAATTCTAATTTTACTTTACTATTATTAAAGACTATTTTAGCTAAATTTATAACGAACTTTATGCTACCCGACGGGAGGCCCTAAACGCTTAGTAAGTAGTTAATTAAATTTAGTAGGCTACTACCCAAAACCTTATTATAACCTCCTAAATGTAATAGGACTTTACTAGAATTATAGCCGAAGCCGCTACTATAATTATATAAATTTAATAAATATAATAGCAGTTCGCTGTAACTGAAGACCAAGCCTAATAATAAAACGCTAATACAACGGTAATACTAACTATAACCGTCCTAATTACTAGCGCTACCCGCCTATACAGCGCTGAACCCCCCGTATTCAATAATATCGAAACGTCCTTATTTAAATACTAAGAAAAATATATTAATTAATAATTCTAATTAATTATTAAATTAGCACTCGACCTCGCTATATACTTAACCCTAACCAATTATATCCTTTATATTTCTTAACGCCTTTCTAACAATATTTATATATATATTTAAGTTAAAGTCGATATTATTACCCTTAACCTCTATAACGCTTCGGCCTAATTAACTGGGTTCTCTAACTTCTAAAATATCCTTACTTACTTCGATCCTTATTATATTACTTTAAATATTTATACTGAAGTAGTATAGAAAATAGATTATTTTAAATAGGGTAATACCCCCTTCGCTAACTTTATCGCTATTTTTATTAAATTAACTAATTAGTACGAATTCGATAAATAACGCTATATCGACGCCCTTAAATCTAAAATTAATAGCACCTTCCAAGACATTTTAATTAATATTACTATACAATTAACAACTAATAATTTTAATACGTAGGTTAAATTCCTCTAGGTTTTAACTAATAATATTAGCAACTACCACTACCGGAATAATAATTCTTCGGCCCTATCCTACCCACCGCCCCTAACTAATAATACTAGTAACTTTATAATCTTTAATAAAATTAACGCCCTCTAAAAGGGACTAATCTTTTAAATTAAGAAGGACCGCCGCCGGAAATTCAATCTATATATATATTACGGCGCCCCTAACTACTATATAATAATTTGTACAGCGAAGGCCAAACCGAAACCTATTAACCTCGCCGCTATTTTAATACTTTCTTAGGACGTAGGAAAAGTCTAACCTCTAGTATAAATTACTATTAGAAGTAAAATTTAAGGAAATTAAAAGATTTATATTTATATTCTATAGAACCTAATACTAATTTCTCTTTTTCAAACTCCCTTCGTTTTAATACCGGTTTATTAATCCTTTACTCTATTATAATTAATTCTAGTTACTCCCTAATAAATTTTATTAATTCCTTATTTATATATTACTATAACATCCCTACTATACTACTCCCTCAACTACGCACCCTTCGTTTAACCGATAGTTAGGAAGGTAGTAAAATTTTATATATTTATATTCTATTCTACTCTTTAAATTCGTTTACGGACTGTTTAACCCTATTTGTATAATTATTTAACGGCCTAAATATAATCCTCGGCCTCCCTTAATTACGAAAGTATAATCTAAAAATCAATTAATTTAATAATTCTATAGAACTCCCGGGTTTTACTGCTATTAAAATCCTAACCCCTACTAAGCCCGACTAATAAATATTTAAAAATATTCCTCTTAATCCTAACCTAGCCGGAATTAACCCTCTAATTATTACGCCGGCTATTAAACCCGCCCCCCAAAATAAATCTAAATTTATTACGAAACCCAAAACATCCCGCCGCTATTCTATAATAATAAAGAAATTATAGCTACTAACGAATATACGCCCGAACAACCGTACCTAACCTTAAAACACTTTTATTCGGATATTATCCACCTTTAATTTTATTTTTATATATAAGGAGCCCGGTATTAAAATTTACAAATATATATCGGATTAATTCTACTACTTCACCGAACCTTTAATATTAAAACCCCCCAATACTATAAATAATACCTAAATACCTAATAATCTAGCTAACCCCAACTAATTTCTTTATAGCCTTAATAATATTATACTTCGGATAGTCCTCTAAAATTAACTTACTAAACAATCCCTCTCCCAATTAATTACTAACTATAGGGATTAGGTAATAGAGAGGCTATAATTTAGGGCCGTTTTAATAGAGGATATTTAAAAATATATCGACGGCAAACTACCGCCAACCTAATAAGAAATCTTCAACGCCCTCTTAGACCATCTTCGGCCGAAGTAGAAGGCCTTCGACCTTAATACCACTAAAATAATACTATTCTATTACCCTTTCAATTATAAAATTAATTTAATCCCCGGCTAGAACCCTCTTTACTACCGCCTACGGCCTATATTCTAAAAGGAATTCTACGCTATCTATAAGTATTTAAATAATTACTTCGCCGCCGGTTTTATCTGTCCGAACTCCTTACTAACGGCTACCCTAATTCTATTTACTAAGAAGCTTAGCGGGGGCGTCTATATTTATATCGATTATAAAGGTTTAAATAATACTATTATTAAAAATAAATACCCTATCCCCCTTATTAAGGAAATTATTAACGCCCTCTGGAAAATAAAATAATTTAGTAAGTTTAATATTATAGTAGCTTTTAACCAGCTACGGATTATTCCCGAGGACAAATAGAAAACTATATTTATTATTAAATTTAGCCTCTTCGAATACCTTATAGCAAACTTCAATATAATAGATATACCCGCTTCCTTCTAGTACTATATTAACTATATTTTATTCAACGTCCTTAATAAATATACTATAGCCTACTTTAATAATATATTTATTTATAACGAAATTAAAGCGGAATATAAGTATTACTTCGAAGATATTATTTCGCGGCTTTATAAGGCGGGCCTTACAATTAATATCCGGAAATACAAGTTCTATAAATACGAAATTAAATATTTAGGCCTAATTATCTCCTAAGACGGCCTTTATATAAATTTAAAAAAGGTTAATATTATACTAAACTAAAATACCCTTAAAATACTAAAGGATCTCCAATATTTTATTAGCTTTATAAATTTCTACTACTACTTTATTAAAGGTTTCTTAAAAATCGCCCAACCCCTAACTACGCTAATATCCAAGGATAAATAAACTTCGCTTATACCCCCAACTACCGTAACTATATTCGAACAATTAAAAGTCGCCTTTACTTTAACGCTGGTCTTCGCTTACTATAACCCTAATTAGAAGACTATTATCGAAGTAGATATATTAGACTAAGCCTCTAGGAGTATTTTATTATAAATCGACGAAGAAGGGAAATACTACCCTATCGCCTTCTTTTTATTAAAATACTCCCCGGTAAAATATAATTATAAAATTTATAATAAAGAGTTATTTATTATTATTAAAATTTTTAAAGAATAGTACTCTGAACTCTAAAATATAAAGGAATTAATCGAAATTATTATAAACTATAAAAATTTATAATACTTTACCTCTACGAAACTCCTCAATTAGTAATAAATATAGTAGTCCGAATTCTTTAACAATTTCCACTTTTAAATTATTTACCGTCTAGGTACTTACGCTATAATCCCGGATATACTATCCCACTTCCCCGGTAACGCTTTAATTAATAAATAGGATATTAGTAATAATTAAATTATTAACTATATACGTACGTTCTTACCTAAAGAGAATTAAATTAAAGAATTAGATTTTAATAAAGCTAAAACAATACTAGCGAAGCTATTTATCTTCGACGCCGAATCCCCTATCGATAATTATATTAATATAATTTATTTTATTTCCCTGGAAGCCTTAACGGCCCTTACGGTACTCTAAAACCCCGATTATAAAACCTTCCTAAAACAGTTACGAAAAATCGTTAACGCAGTTATAACCAACTATATAACGGCTAATAGTAGGATTTTAATTAACAATAGGATTTTTATTCCCCCTTATTCCGAGATTAGATTTTAGGTCCTATAGTATACTTATAATTTAGCCCCGGGTAATTACCCCGGATAGTTTAAAACTTATAATTTTATTTAGCGGACTTATATTTAGTTAAACTTCTCCTATAATATAATTATTTTCGTCTAGGGCTATTACCTCTATACTAAAATTAAAAATTCCTGTTTCGTACTACTTAACTTCTTTAAATTACTACCGGTCCCCTTTTACAATTAATCTAATATTTCTATTAATTTTATCGGCCCCTTCCTAAAAATAAAATTAAGTAGCCGTACTTATATTTATATTATAATCGTTATTAATAGATTAATAAAAATATATTACTATATTACTATTTATAATTTATTAATTAGGAAGACTATAACTACTTTCCTTCGCGA